GTCAATATTTCACAGGGACTTACTAAATATTTTCTAAATTAGATCTAACTTAACCTTATCTGACCCAACCCAATTTCGTAGTTGTAATATCATTGAAGTAATAAATGGGTCAATGCTAATATGGATGCCTTACCTGTGCCTTACCTGCCAAACGAAGCAATTGGCCAAGACGTGAAGGCTATAGGAGGTGACTTTCTGTACCATATATTTTGGATTAATTCTGTATAAAATTAGGTTAATAAATTACAATTACAGTAACATGAGTTATTTCAATACAACAATACAGTATTTATCACTTGAGATTCATTTGGCAGACAGGCATAATGTAATTTCTATACTTACATGGGTAATAATGTACGTTTTATAGTTTACATGTGTACGTATTTTAGTGTACATGAAATATAGTCGTTTTGATGTGTGTTTTACTGTATACTTCATGTCTGTACGTATTTTAGTGTACACGTTAAATAAAGTCGTGTTTTTATGTGTATGTTTTATAGTTTACATGAGTACGTATTTTAGTGTACATGAGATACAGACATGATTTTATATACGTACACAACATAGCAACATACATCTTTCTCTGGGTTTAATTTGATACACACACACACACACACACATGTACGTCTGTTTTAAAAATTCACACCATACACTTTACCTTAATCGTACACACATAATTTGCAGGAGAGTTTGGATTACGAGACTAATCTAACCCAGTGTTTCCATGGTTAAGTTAGATTAAGTTCTTTAATTTTGAGAATAGATAATAAACACTTAACCTAACTTAACTTTGGGAAATTATATAGAACGTAATGTCATTGGGAATAATTGATATCGCTTCAAAATATATATATAACGAAACCCCCCATAATTAATATATATTCTAAATATTAATGAACGTTTAATAGTATAAGGATCTCTTTTATAAATATATTTACTCCCCTATTTCAAAGTTACTATACACATGAAGTAAAATAGAGTTTATCACCATTTTGTGTTTATGTGTATAACTATTTTAGGTGTGAATTCTGTTCCTCAGGTGATAATTTATTGTAAATATTGACACCTAGTTGTAATTAATTCTTTAACTTTATCTTTTACTCATAATTATATTCTCTAAGACAAGTAAACTCCTCCATAGAACACACACACACACACACACACACACACACATACACACACCATCCCAGCAACATAATAACCTTCTATAATGTGAAATAAGTACCATACACATTTACAATAGCATTTATATATATATATTTATGGTCATTGTAAACCCTAGCGTCCCTTCCATCAGAGAGAGAGAGAGAGAGAGAATGGATACACTATTTAAATTAATAAAATAATTCACGTCCAGTTACATTAGATTATTTGGCGAATCTCTTCCAGTCCTGTTAATTTCCAGTGGATTTGGCAGCGATTGGTAATTGAATTCAGTAGTTGCAATCACATCCAATCACCTATACTGAAATACTGATTGATTTTCCACTATTATAATGAGTTCAAATACATTTCCAATCACTTATATTCGATTACAGATTAGATATCAACATTCCAATCACACAGAGCACTTCAGTTCCAATCATTTAGGGATGTTCAGCTAATCCGGTTAAATACTAAATTAATTGTACGTGAATAATTTGTTTGGTTACAATGATTCAGTAAGATTGACTGATGAACCACTCTTGGATCGGAGGTCTCACGGATGGATTGGTGATTAGTGGAGGTTAGTTAATCCTGTAAGAGTTAGATTATGTTAGTGGTGGCTTATAGGGTGGTACTACTACTACTACTACTACTGTTATTATCATCATTACAACCACTACTACCATTATTACAACAACAACTACCATTAAACAACCAATTAATGACCTAACCTGACCTGGGTTAGCCCTCAGACAGGGGAGGAGTGACCCAGCCATATTTCTCGTGAGTTTTGACCAATGACCTGAAGGCTGACTCGGCTGATCTCTTGTTAAACTCCTTGGGTACTTTGTGTTTACGTGATATCCGACCCTGGGGGGAAAAAATGGTCATAACTGGGGGAAAAAATGGTCCATAGTGTTCCATATTACGTAAAAATGGCCCCAAAAATGGTCAAAAGGTGAAAGAAGTTATATTATAATCCCCTATAATATACATACCCCGTTATATCACAACCCCCTATCATGTAAGAGGTGTGTAGTGGGGGGGGTAGTTATGTAACGGCTTCCGTGGGCGTGTGACGTCAGAGGAAAAATTCTCTCTCTCTCTCTCTCTCTATCTCTCTGTACGTGTGTGTGGGTGAAAAAAATATTGAAAGATATTGCAATGTTGATAGAGAGTGCAGGTACAAGGTGTTGTGTGTGTGTGTGTGTGTGTGTGTGTGTGTGTGTGTGTGTGTGTGTCGTCAGTAAGAAAGAATAACTTCAGATCCTTCCTCCCTTCCTTCCTTCCTTCCTTCCTTCCCTTCCTTCCTTCCTTCCTTCCTCCTCCGTTTCCTTCCTTCTCCCCTCCCCTTCTTCCTTCCTCCCTCCCTCCCTTCCTTCCTTCCTTCCTTCCTCCTCCCTTCCTTCCTTCCTTCCTCCTTCCTTCCTCCCTCCCTTCCTTCCTTCCTTCCTCCCTCCGTTCCTTCCTCCTCCTCCTCCTTCCTTCCTTTCCTTCCTTCCTCCTCCGTTCCTTCCTCCCTCCTTCTTCCTTCCTTCCTTCCTTCCTTCCTTCCTTCCTCCTCCGTTCCTTCCCTTCTCCCTCCCTTCCTTCCTTCCTCCCCTCCCTCCTTCCTTCCTCCCTTCTTCCTTCCTTCCTTCCTTCCTTCCTTCCTTCCTTCTCCTCCGTTCCTTCCTTCCTCCTCCTTCCTTCCTTCCTTCCTTCTTCCTTCCTTCCTTCTTCCTTCACTCCTCCGTTCCTTCCTCCTTCCTTCCTTCCTCCTCCCTTCCTTCCTTCCTTCCTTCCTTCCTCGTTCCTTCCTTCCTTCCTTCCTTCCTTCCTTCCTTCCCCTCCGTTCTTCTTCCTCCTTCCTTCTTCTTCCTTCCTTCCTTCTTCCTTCCTTCCTCCTTCCTTCCTTCTTCCTCCTTCCTTCCTTCCTTCCTTCCTCCGTTCCTTCCTTCCTTCCTTCTTCCTTCCTTCCTCCGTTCCTTCTTCCTTCCTTCCTCCCCTCCTTCCTTCCTTCCTTCCTTCCTTCCTTCCTCTTCCTTCCTTCTCCCTCCTTCCTTCCTTCCTTCCTTCCTTCCTTCCTTCCTCCTCCGTCCTTCCTTCCTCCTCCTTCTTCCTTCCTTCCTCCTTCCTTCCTCCTTCCTTCCCCTTCCTTCCTTCCTTCCTCCGTTCCTTCCTTCCTACCTTCCTTCCTTCCTTCCTTCCTCCTTCCTTCCTTCCCTTCCCTCCTTCCTCCGTTCCTTCCTTCCTTCCTTCCTCCTCCTTCCTTCCTTCCTTCCTTCCTTCCTCCCCTTTCTTCCTTCCTTCCTTCCTTCCTCCTCCTTCCTTCCTTCCTTCTTCCTCCTTCCTTCTCCCCTCTCTTCCTTCCTTCCTTCCTTCTTCCTTCCTTCCTCCTTCCTTTCTTCCTTCCTCCTCCCTTCCTTCCTTCCTTCTCCTCCTTCCTCCTTCTTCTCCTTCCTCCTTCCTCCTCCTTCCTTCCTTCCTCCTTCCTTCCTTCCTCCTTCCTTCCTCCTTCCTCCTTCCTTCCTTCCTCCTTCCTCCTCCTTCCTCTTCCTTCCTTCCTTCCTTCTTCCTCCTTCCTTCCTCCCTTCCTTCCTCCTTCCTTCCTTCCTTCCTCCTTCCTTTCTTCCTTCCTTCCTCCCTCCCTTCCTTCCTTCCTTCCTTCTTCCTTCCTTCCTCCTTCCTTCTTCCTTCCTTTCTTCCTTCCTTCCTTCCCCTTCCTTCCTCTTCCTCCCTTCTTCCTTCCTTCCTTCCTTCCTCCTTCCTTCCTTCTTCCTTCCTCCCTTCCTTCCTTCCTCCTTCCTCCTTCCTCCGTTCCTTCCTTCTTCCTTCCTTCCTTCCTTCCTCGTTCCTTCCTTCCTTCCTTCCTCCCTCCTTCCTTCCTTCCTTCCTTCCTTCTCGTTCCTTCCTCCCTCCTTCCTTCCTTCCTTCCTTCTTTCCTTCCTTCCCTCCGTTCCTTCCTTCCTCCTCCTTCCTTCCTTCCTTCCTCCTCCCTTCCTTCCTCCGTTCCTTCCTTCCTACCTTCCTTCCTTCCTTCCTTCCTTCCTTCCTTCCTTCCTCCGTTCCTTCCTTCCTTCCTCCTCCTTCCTTCCTTCCTCCTTCCTTTCTTCCTTCCTTCCTCCTCCCTTCCTTCCTTCTTCCTTCCTTCCTTCCTTCCTTCCTTCCTTCCTCCTTCCTTCCTCCTCTCTTCCTTCCTTCCTTCCTTCCTTCCTTCCTTTCTTCCCTTCCTTCCTCCTCCCTTCCTTCCTTCCTTCCTTCCTTCCTTCCTTCCTTCCTTCCTCCTCCTTCCCTTCCTTCCTCCTTCCTTCCTTCCTCCTCCTCCCTTCCTTCCTTCCTTCCCCTTCCTCCTTCATCTTCCTTCCTTCCTTCCTCCTCCTTGCCTTCCTTCCTCCTCCCCTTCCTTCCTTCCTTCCTTCCCTTCCTCCTCCTCCTTCTTCCTTCTCCTCCCTTCCTTCCTTCTTCCTTCCTTCCCTTCCTCCGTTCTTCCTCCTCCTTCCTTCCTTCCTTCCTTCCTTCCTTCCTTCTTCCCTCCCTTCCTCCTCCTTCCTTCTCCTCCTCCCTCCTTCCTTCCTCCTTCCTTTCTTCCTCCTCCTTCCTTCCTTCCTTCCTCCTTCCTTCCTTCCTCCCTCCTTCCTTCCTCCCTTCCTTCCTTCCTTCTTCTCCTCCCTTCCTTCCTTCCTTCCTTCCTTCCTTCCTTCTCCTCCTCCTCCTTCCTTCCTTCCTTCCCTCCCCCTTCCTTCCTTCCTTCCTCCCTTCCTTCCTTCCTCCCTCCTTCCATCCTTCCTTCCTTCCTTCCTTCCTTCCTTCCTCCTCTCCTTCCTTCCTTCTTCTCCTCCCTTCCTTCCTTCCTTCCTTCCTCCTTCCTTCCTTCCTCTATCCTTCCTTCCTTCCTTCCTTCCTTCCCTTCCTTCCTTCCTTCCTTCCTTCCTCCCTCCTCCTTCCTTCCTTCTTCCTTCCTCCTCCTTCCTTCCTTCCTTCCTTCCTTCCTCCTCCCTCCCTTCCTTCCTTCCTTCCTTTCCTCCTCCTTCCTTCCTTCCTTCCTTCCTTCCTCCTTCCTTCCTTCCTTCCTTCCTTCCTTCCTCCTCCTTCCTTCCTCATCTCCAAATTATCCTCCTCTTTAACACCACAAGAGTCATTCCAGCATCATTGGTTAACGAGCAATTGAGGTCAATAGCACTAACAATGTAATTAATGAACTGAACAATCCCACCAGTTAACAGACAATTAGACTGAAGTTAACAACCACAAAAAAGTAATTAATAGGCAATCATTTAAAACAAGTTAACAAACATTAGAGGTCAACAAGCACTAACAATTAATGAACTGAACAATCCCACCAGTTAACAGACAATTAGACTGAAGTTAACAAAAAAAAAGTAATTAATGAGCTTAAATCATTACAAAACAAGTTAACGAGCAATTAGAGGTCAACAAACACTAACAATGTAATTAATGAACTGAACAATCCCACCAGTTAACAGACAATTAGACTGAAGTTAACCAAAAAAAAGTAATTAATGAGCTTAAATCATTACAAAACAAGTTAACGAGCAATTAGAGGTCAACACTAACAACAATAATTAATGAACTGAACAATCCCACCAGTTAACAGACAATTAGACTGAAGTTAACAACCACAAAAAAGTAATTAATGAGCTTAAATCATTACAAAACAAGTTAACGAGCAATTAGAGGTCAACAAGCACTAACCTGGCCCTTAACTAGGCTAGCTGCGAACTGCATTATTACAGCTTCTATTGTGTAAGCAGATGCCCAACCACGTGGTGTTAGTAGTTCCATACAGATGGCGCCACCCTCCATCACGAAGCCCTGGTGGTAGTAGTAGTAGTAGTAGTAGTAGTAGTAGTAGTAGTAGTATATAGTTATTGCAACATCATTATTTTTATCATTATCATAAAACTATCCACCTCTCCATGTCCCCACCCACCTCCCCATGTCCCCACCCATCTCCCCATGTCCCCACCCACCTCCCCATGTCCCCACCCACCTCCCCATGTCACCATCCACCTCCCCATATCCCCACCCACCCCCATGTCACCACCACCCCATGTCACCACCCACCCCATGTCCCCACCCACCTCCCCATGTCACCACCCACCTCCATGTCACCACCCACCTCCCCATGTCCCCACCCACCTCCCCATGTCCCCACCCACCTCCCCATGTCCACACCCACCTCCCCCATGTCCCCACCCACCTCCCCCCATGTCCCCACCACCTCCCCATGTCCCCACCCACTCCCCCATGTCACCACCCACTCCCCATGTCCCTCACCCACCTCCCCATGTCCTCACCCACCTCCCCATGTCCCCCACCCACCTCCCCATGTCACCACCCACCTCCCCATGTCCCCACCCACCTCCCCCATGTCCCCACCCACCTCCCATGTCCCCACCCACCTCCCCATGTCCCCACCCACCTCCCCATGTCACCACCCACCTCCCCATGTCCCTCACCCACCTCCCCATGTCCTCACCCACCCCCCATGTCTCACCCACTCCCATGTCCCACCCACCTCCCCATGTCCCCCACCCACCTCCCCATGTCCCCACCCACCTCCCCATGTCACCATCCACCTCCCCATGCCCCCACCCACCCCATGTCCCCACCCACCTCCCCATGTCCCCACCCACCCCCCCCATGTCCCCACCCCACCTCCCCATGCCCCCACCCACCTCCCCATGCCCCACCCACCTCCCCATGTCCCCACCCCACCTCCCCATGCCCCCACCCACCTCCCCATGTCCCCACCCACCTCCCCATGTCCCACCCACCTCCCATGTACCCCACCCACCTCCCCATGTCCCCACCCACCTCCCCATGTCCCCACCCACCTCCCCATGTCCCTCACCCACCTCCCCATGTCACCACCCACCTCCCCCATGTCCCCACTCCACCTCCCCATGTCCCACCCACCCTCCCCATGTCACCACCCACCCCATGTCCCCACCCACCTCCCCATGTCCCCACCCACCTCCCCATGTCCCTCACCCACCCCCATGTCCCCACCCACCCTCCCCATGTCCCCACCCACCCTCCCCATGTCCCTCACCCACCCCACCCACCTCCCCCATGTCCCCACCCACCTCCCCATGTCCCCACCCACCTCCCCATGTCACCACCCACTCCATGTCCCCACCCACCTCCCCCATGTCCCCACCCACCTCCCCCATGTCCCCACCCATCTCCCCATGTCCCCACCCATCTCCCCATGTCCCCACCCACCTCCCCATGTCCCCACCCACCTCCCCATGTCCCCACCCATCTCCCCATGCCTCACCCATCTCCCCATGTCCCCACCCACCCCCCATGTCCCCACCCACCTCCCCATGTCCCCACCCCACCTCCCCATGTCCCCACCCACCTCCCCATGTCCCCACCCACCTCCCCCATGTCCCCACCCACCCCATGTCCCCACCCACCTCCCCATGTCCCCCACCCACCTCCCATGTCCCCACCCACCTCCCCATGTCCCCACCCCACCTCCCATGTCCCCTCCCCATGTCCCCACCCCACCTCCCCGTCCCCACCCCTCCCCATCTCCCCATCAACACCTTTTCCAGAGCCGGGGAAAGACCCTCAAATGGCGGATGAAAATTATCAGAGAAACTAATGGATAAAAGGATTGATGTACTCCTAGTTCTTCCATGTCTCTATAGAGTTCAAGTCGGGATCACACGCTACTTTACCTGTGGATAGATGGAAGTATGTAAGTGGATAAGTGGGGTGTGTGGAGTGTGAAGTATTTTATTATAGTGCAGAATTTATTTTTGTTTTCCTTCCTTCCTTCCTTCCTTCCTTCCTTCTCTCTCCTCCCTTCCTACTCCTCCTCATTGACTGCTCTTGAGTCAAACTTAAGTCCAAAATCAATAAGATTGACTCAAAGGTTTAAAAGAATTCTGGTTAGGTCTCTCTCTCTCTTTGGTCCCTACAACCGCTGGCAATCAATTTCTACCCTCAACCTCACACTGAACTGAGTCAAACAAACACAGACACACACACCATACCACACACACACACACACACTATCACTACACACACCATCAAAACACCAACACACAGTTTAAATTCATACAAGCCATCCTCATCAAAACTATGCGCCATTAATTTATTCTGGCTTCCTAACATAACAACAACTGCGCGCCAAAAACATAACATGGTGGGTATCACTCTGTCAGCTGATCGACCATAACAAACATTTACGCGGGAAAAAAACTACCATATGAGAGTCCATACGTCAGCTGATCAACAATAACAATACCACGTGGGTTTCCCCTCATCAGCTGATAAACAATAACAATTAATTACGCGGGAAAAATCTACCAAGTGTTGTAGAGTCAGCTGATCGATCATAACAATAACAGAGAATTACGCGCCAAAAAATGCAATACATATAACAGCAACACAAAAAACTAACACATTTCTCACCGAAATTCACCAAACCGAGCGATATTTTATGAACCAAATATCATTAATATTCTAGATAATATTTAGTGGTTATTGAACTCTTGTCAATCAATTCGGTACATTCTTGTCACGCTAGCCTGTAGGGGAGGGAGGGGGACGTATATCTATCGTGTCTATCTGTTTATTTTACCTGTGAAAATTCCCTAATGTTACCAGGGAGTTAGGTTAGGGATCCTACATAACACAATACAGGAATGCTAGACTACAAGATACTACACTACAGGAATCCTACAGGACACTAACCTTCCACTCGTAAAGGCAGTCATTAACCAAGTCGACGGTAAACACAGGGTCCTTGGTATTCTGTTGCCCTTTGGAGAGTTCCTGGTATTCCTTCATCAACCTCCGAGTCCTTACCATCTTCATATGCTTCGTCGTGGACTCGTTCAGGAGGCCCCCAGCAGCAGCAGGTGGAGGGGACTTCTTAAACGTGGCTGCAGAAGGTGGTGAAGAAAGAGAACCTTTTGAACGTGTTGACTTAGGACTATGCTGGCTGACCCCTTCAGCTGGGCCGACTCTACTCCCTTCCAGGTAAGTGTGTCTTGAGAAAAACCTCTTAGCTGTTGAAGGTGAATTAAGTCCGTTTACTCCACTGTGAGAGTTGGAGCCCCCAGAGGCGCCTACACAGTCATGTCTCCTCCTTCGGGTGTACTCTGACCCCATGCACTGGTACCTTGAGTTCGTGTAGAGGTTGAAGACGGATTTCTTATACCAGAACTCGTCCCTCTCATCGCTGCCATATTCTGAGGGTTCCTTTCGCTATTACTAAACATTTTCCCCGGATTGGAATTCATATTAGCTCCTGATTCTGTTCTCGTCGTGTTGTTGTTGTTGTTCTGCCCTCGAGCGGCGGTGGGGTACTGAGGGTCTAATTTATCCCCAGAACGGAATAACTTACGAAAGGCTGCAGCCATCTTGGTACCTTGCGTCAGGAGTTGTCGCCTTAGGAGTGTATGAAGTGAGGGACAGCGTTGACGGGGCGTTGACGGGGGCGTTGATAGTCCACCTCAACGCTCTCCTCCTCCACCCCTTTCTCCTGTCCACGCATCAACGCTTAACCAAACAAAACCAACATTATCATTTATTTCAGTACTAATATTTCCACGTAGTCTAATTCTTTTCCTCCTTCTCCTCCTCTCCTCTTCCTTCCTTCCTTCCTTCCTTCCTCCTCACACCAATCACTACAGAACACGGAGTTATGATCTAGGGAGCCTTGTACACACTCTCATGGTCGGCCCTCTCTAGCCTCTTGACCCTCTGGGCTTGATTTACACTTTTATCTGAGGGAAGAAAGAATTGGGTGTTAATAGTTGCAGTAATGGTTGTAGTTGTTGTTGTAGTAATAGTAGTAGTAGTTCAAGGTCATGTTAATTAGTAATTGACCTTTGAGTGTAATTATTAAACCCATTAGAGGTCAATTGTTGTTAAATTCTTACGTAACTGATGTTGGGTGGCCATTGGTTATAAAAGGACTATGACGTCAGAGCTACTAACAGGTCATTGGTCCATATTGTGCCTAGTGTAACAATAGCTAAATATGATTGGTTAAAAAGGCCATGACGTCAAAGATAGATAAGCCATTGTCCCGCACTGTGTAATAAAAGACGGAATTTCAATGGTCAATATTGTATATGACGTCATAAAACCTGGAAACCTATTGGTTGACTAATCATCAGGTGAAATAAGCTGGCGTGTCTAATCTTCAGGTGAAATAAGCTGGGGTGTCTAATCTTCAGGTGAAATAAGCTGGGGTGTCTAATCTTCAGGTGAAATAAGCTGGGGTGTCTAATCTACAGGTGATTCACGTACTGCTTTAATGTATTCTATATTAAATTCTTCATTGAGGATCGTATAAATGTTTATGTGTTTTAAGGCCAAAATATTTAGACTTCAAACCCTTAAGATGGACAAGGTGGAGTGACTACATCCTGCCTCTACAACAGCTGGAAGACTACTGAGAGAGGCGAGCCTGAGCCATATTGCCTTGTGAGAAATCGATGAACACGTGACTATCATCTAGGCTTCCTATTGGTCGATTATTATCCCTATGTCTTTACCTCTTATTTCCACATATTTCTTCCCTATCGCTATTTTTTTTTCTATTTTTAATCCATTTCTAATTATTTTTTTTTGTTATTTAGGATATTTGTGGGTTTATTTATTACGTGAGGGGAAAATTCCAATATTTTTTTGGGGGACTTTGTTGATTTTGTCTCGAATTCACAACGAGATCCATAAGTCTTGTAAAAATGAGTAAACATCATAGATTACCAGTCATATACATACATACAGACAGTCATATTCATACATACAGACAGTCATATACATACATACAGGACAGTCATATACATACATACAGGACAGTCATATACATACATACAGACAGTCATATACATACATACAGGACAGTCATATACATACATACAGACAGTCATATACATACATACAGGACAGTCATATACATACATACAGGACAGTCATATACATACATACAGAACAGTCATATACATACATACAGGACAGTCATATACATACATACAGGACAGTCATATACATACATACAGGACAGTCATATACATACATACAGGACAGTCATATACATACATACAGGACAGTCATATACATACATACAGGACAGTCATATACATACATACAGGACAGTCATATACATACATACAGGACAGTCATATACATACATACAGGACAGTCATATACATACATACAGAACAGTCATATACATACATACAGGACAGTCATATACATACATACAGGACAGTCATATACATACATACAGGACAGTCATATACATACATACAGGACAGTCATATACATACATACAGGACAGTCATATACATACATACAGGACAGTCATATACATACATACAGAACAGTCATATACATACATACAGGACAGTCATATACATACATACAGGACAGTCATATACATACATACAGGACAGTCATATACATACATACAGGACAGTCATATACATACATACAGGACAGTCATATACATACATCATACACGTTTATATATACAATACATACATGGATTCATACATACACATATGCTGTGGTGGTATACATACAAGTCCACGTAACTATGCATACACAAACGAGTACAGATGTATACATGGGGATATACATATAATACACATAACATAACCAAAGATGACTTAATCTGACCTAACTTAATCTAACCTAACTTAACCCTAACCTAATCTAGCTTAACCCTAACCTAACCTAATCTAACTTAATCTAACCTAACTTAACCCTAACCTAATCTAGCTTAACCCTAACCTAACCTAATCTAACTTAATCTAACCTAACTTAACCCTAACCTAATCTAGCCTAACCCTAACCTAGCCTAATCTAACTTAATCTAACCTAACTTAACCCTAACCTAATCTAGCCTAACCCTAACTTAGCCTAATCTAACTTAATCTAACCTAACTTAACCCTAACCTAATCTAGCCTAACCCTAACCTAACCTAATCTAACTTAATCTAACCTAACTTAATCTAACCTAACTTAACCCTAACCTAATCTAGCTTAACCCCTAACCCAACCTAATCTAACTTAATCTTAACCCAATCCTAACCTCAACTCCAATCTAGCCCAACCCCTAACCTAGCCTAATCTAACCTAATCTAACCCAATCCTAACCCTAACCTAATCTAGCCTAACCCCAACCTAGCCTAATCTAACTTAATTTAACCCAATCCTGGTCCCCAACCTAATCTAGCTTAACCCCAACTCAGCTCAATCTAACTTAATTCAACCTAACGTAACCCTAACCTAATCTAGCCTAACCCCAACTCAGCCTCCAATCTAACTTAATCTAACCTAACTTAACCCTAACCTAATCTAGCCTAACCCTAACCTAACCTAATCTAACTTAATCTAACCTAACTTAATCTAACCTAACTTAACCCTAACCTAATCTAGCTTAACCCTAACCTAACCTAATCTAACTTAATCTAACCTAACTTAACCCTAACCTAATCTAGCCTAACCCTAACCTAGCCTAATCTAACTTAATCTAACCTAACTTAACCCTAACCTAATCTAGCCTAACCCTAACCTAGCCTAATCTAACTTAATTTAACCTAACTTAACCCTAACCTAATCTAGCTTAACCCTAACCTAACCTAATCTAACTTAATCTAACCTAACTTAACCCTAACCTAATCTAGCCTAACCCTAACCTAGCCTAATCTAACTTAATCTAACCTAACTTAACCCTAACCTAATCTAGCCTAACCCTAACCTAGCCTAATCTAACTTAATTTAACCTAACTTAACCCTAACCTAATCTAGCCTAACCCTAACCTAGCCTAATCTAACTTAATCTAACCTAACTTAACCCTAACCTAATCTAGCTTAACCCTAACCTAACCTAACTTAACCTAAATGACAATGTTGGAAATATGAACAAGTGTGTGTGTGTGTGTGTGTGTGTGTGTGTGTGTGTGTGTTTACCTGTACTTTTGAGTAATTAATTAACACACCTATGGCGCACCTGTGTGGTTAGAGGTTAATTAAATAACCTGTTGAAATAATTAATCTAAAGTGCGAGAGAGAGAGAGAGAGAGAGAGAGAGAGAGAGAGAGAGAGAGAGAGAGAGAGAGAGTATTTCCTTTCTCTCTCCCACACAGAAATAATTCAAAAGTCTCCGTACCTCTGTCACTTCAGGCCGCCAAATAATTCAAAAGTCTCCGTACCTCTGTCACTTCAGGCCGCCACTTCCACCATCTCCAGCTGGTCGATAACCCTTCAAGGTTGTCCTCGAGTTCACTAATGCGTTAAAATGACGTAAATCGTAATCCAGAACAAAGGAGCGTGTTGTACTCAGAGCGGAGGAGACACGTCCTTCCTCACCGATGGCTCACAGGAAACTGGGGGAAATTGATGTGCTGCCAGATGGAACCATTTGGAAAATATATCCAAAAAAATAGCTAATTTTGGCTATTTATAAGGTTTCTTTACTTTATTTATGTATTATATATCTCATTTTTATTATAATTGATATAGTTTTGTTATAAATATTAATATATGTGATGTAGAAGCAGGAATGTGTTATATGTGGTGTTGGTTATGCGTCTGGCAGTAGAGTGAGAGGTGTAGTTGTCGTACCGTGCGCGGGGGTCACCAGGTTGCCTAATAACAAAACGTCTTTCTGCTACAGTTTCTGATTTTCTTATTATTACGAGTTTTAGTTAATTTATGTTTAGTTTATAAAATGTTTAGCTAATCTTTGATGTTATATGTATTGTATTATATATAGACTTAAATAGTTTATTAATTTAAATACTTAATCATTAAATATATGTTAATTTAGGTTAGGTTAGTCTACCAGCTCAAGCTTAAGCTGTGGTCCACCTTACGTCAGCATGGCCAACTTTAAAGGGTAGCCATTAGGTAAATAAGGTAAAGTAAATAATATACCCCGTACATAACTATATATTAATAATAAAATAGTTACCCCAGGAAAAGTTGGTTACAGAAAACGGAAGTATTTAAGGGGTACCTAATCTAACTTAACCTCTCCGTTCTTGTTTAATTCAATTAATTAGTTTAAGCACTATAGTTCATTAATACATAACATATATGTGTTCTATACTTCCAGAAATAACGTTTATTTATTTTAATATATGTAATTTGATATTTCTGAGATTTTGGGAGGTAGTTTTATCCAATTATTTCATGATATTTTAATGTATTAGTTCTACCCGATTTTGTCTTGTCTAGTGGGTTGTTAATTGTAAGGCCGTTAGTCTAGTTGGATAGTTAACATGATAGTTCATGATTCACGTTAATTACCGTTTCACCTTTACCAGGGAATAAGTCTAGAGGTAGTGTTTTCTAGGCCTGTATACAGTAAAAAGACTCTGAGCATTTTTGTATGTATTTCAAAGGTTTTATTTTCCCTTGATCTTGGTTGGGTTCTCCTTACTGCTGTTCCTTCTTTCTTGTTATAGTTCACACACACATGTACAGGGTGTGTTATAGTTCACACACACATGTACAGGGTGTGTTATAGTTCACACACACATGTACTGGGTGTCTTATAGTTCACACACACATGTACAGGGTGTCTTATAGTTCACACACACATGTACAGGGTGTCTTATAGTTCACACACACATGTACAGGGTGTCTTATAGTTCACACACACATGTACAGGGTGTCTTATAGTTCACACACACATGTACAGGGTGTGTTATAGTTCACACACACATGTACAGGGTGTGTTATAGTTCACACACACATGTGTACAGGGTGTCAGGGTGTCTCATAGTTCACACACACATGTACAGGGTGTCTTATAGTTCACACACACATGTACAGGGTGTCTTATAGTTCACACACACATGTACAGTGTCTTATAGTTCACACACACATGTACAGGTGTCTTATAGTTCACACACACATGTACAGGGTGTCTTATAGTTCACACACACATGTACAGGGTGTCTTATAGTTCACACACACACATGTACAGGGTGTCTCATAGTTCACCCTCACACACACACACACATGTACAGGGGTCTCATAGTTCACCCTCACACACACACACACACATGTACAGGGTGTCTCATAGTTCACACACACACATGTACAGGGTGTCTCATAACCTCATTATTGACTATAAAAAATCCCACATGTAACTTGTTATACAAATCGCTAAAGTCAACAGCAAAAATCACCACAATTTGTCTTTTTATTCAGTAAGATACAATGTTGATTTACACTTGTTTAAACTATCAAACTTACACACCAAAAAAAAATCCCAACTCAAATAAGGGTAAAATAAAATAATAAATTAAACTTACCTAAACATTTATTGTGTTTTATAAAGAATGAAATAAATGATTACAGGGTTTAACATTGGTTTACTTTAGGTTTATCTTGGTAATGTAAACAAGCTGTTCTCACAAGATGTGTTCTCATAGCGGTGAAGATGCGTGGAATAATGAGAAACAGCAGAGTGAAAATACAGGGGTTGTAATCAGTGCTGAGTACATTGAGATGAACCAGTACTGAGTAAGTCTGAATGTACCCAGAACTGAGTACAACAGGATATACCAATGCTAAGTGTGTCAAGATGTACCAGTACGCTGCGATATACCCAGAGGTTGAGTACATCGATAACCTAACCTATTAAAGACTAATAAACCTTCCATGTGATAAATTAATACATAAATTTAATATATTAACCAAAATAATATAAAAGTCTTCAATGACAAATGCATAAACAGATGTGGTATTTGACCCCCTTAACCAATAGCTCTGTGGTACATCTTAACAGCCTCCTCCTCCTCCTCCTCCCCCCCTTGATAGTGTGGTAGTGGAGGTTGATAGGAAGTCTTGGAGTAGGGGTAGGGGGAGGGGTAGGGGGAGGGGTAGGGGGAGGGGAGGACTCAGCTGGTATACAGACAGACACACACACAACCCTGACCGTGCAATAGATAACGCTCCAAGAGATTCACATATTTCTACACTTACGGTAAGAGGCCCATCGACTCTAGCCCTAGTGTAAGTCTTCCCCAACGAAATAAAAAATAATTGGAACAGGTAATAAACGTTATATCTGATGGATCGTAAACACTAAGGCTCTAATAATCGCACTCTGAGGGGTAGGGTGGTGGAGGAACGTCATACGAGGCTCAGTCATTCCTAACCTAGCCTACGGTAAAATATAAACTCCGGTACTACCGCGCGTTCGTCGAGTCCGGCCGACCGCCTCTATCCTAAAACGACGTTCCCTCCAACGACCGGGCCGACCTCACGCACCGGCGACGAATGCACGACCACGAAAAAGTAAACAAATAATAACTTAACCCTAAAGGAATCTTCCCCAAATACTCCATAATAAAAAAAAGCTTAGACCAACACTATAAGCTGCTCGCGGCAAGATCTTCTCAACTCAATATACTTAAACCGACTGACAAGTGTTCCTATGTACTGTACAATATATACTATATATATCTACCTTAACTTGATTAATTCTGTTGAGGTGTTTCCTTCCCCAGGTCTATAGGTGAAGGCAAGATCGACGACTAATCACCGTAGCTGCGGTCTGGTTTTGTTAATAAGGTGATTCGTACTGTCTCTAATTACATGTACTGTAGTTGATGTATTTAGAGTTGGTGTTTAGGTCATTGAAGTTGAATTAGTCTTATCCCTTAATCAGCGACCGAGGATCACCCCCCCCCCCTACCAGATACAGTAATTGGGATGTGGTTAATGGGAAAATTCTCGCTGATTTGGCCGCTGTTTAAGGGTCAAGTATTTGTGAAGAGATGTGCAAGCTGGTTGTTACCGGGCCAGGTCGAGTGTGTTGTACCACCGGGCCAGGTCAAGTGTGTGTCTTACCACTAAGCCGGGTCGAGTGTGTTGTATCACCAGGCCAGGTCGAGCCAGGTCAAGTGTGGCATTAATGAGCCTAATATAGACTTCAGGTTAGATTACGTGCCTCTGTTACTGGAGCCTCGACCGTAGTTCTCACTCGACCCCATCGAGGGCGACTCACGACGTCAAGCGCTGCACTACTCGATGCATAATGAAAAATGGCGTCGATCATCACGACAGAAATCCTTACAAACTGTTTAGCGTCGCGCGCCGAGACGAGAGCCGTCAAGCGCGAGAAATGAGACGATAGCAAGCGGGCGCGCGACACGAAGAGAAGGACAAATATATACCTCACACCCCCAGAGGACAAACTTACGGTCCATCGGGCGTTGGCGATAATCACGCCCATTACTGCTACAACTTCCGTTCCCATCTACGCCGACCGGACGACACCCGGAGGGCGATCGGGTGTAGCGGCGGCAGGCACTTGTGACCCCGGACACGAACGACGAAAGACAAAATATTCCTCCCGAGCGCGACGGTTCCCTCCGGCCCGAGGACCCCAGACCACCGCCCCTCGAGTCGGTGCCCCAACCCGCGGGCATCGGCCGTTTATCCTCGGCAACGTTATTCTCTATCATTATGCTTACGACTAATGGTAAATTCACTACAGTATGGGGGTGACTCTCTGGTGGTGATAATACTACAGCCTTTGTTAATGTACTTGTTTAATACTGGTGTGTGTGTGTGTGTGTGTGTGTGTGTGTGTGTGTGTGTGTGTTTTATCACCTTATCACCAACACTACCAGAGACCGGACCTCCATTATTCTCGTCCCATTAATCCCAAAACCCGATTTAAAAAAAAAAACGCTAAATCCCTACGTGAAAAGGGCGATGTTTATGCACAAGTGGTAATAAATGACCAATACCATTAGGGTCTAAGGCTAGGAGGGGGGGTGGGGGGGTGGGGGGTTATTAGCGCTAAAATTCTCTATCCGACAACAATCACCTCAGGCACTTCCACGATGCTAATATGTATATACGCTTAAATTAAGCTAAAATTGATCCACCGATTATGTGATATTGTCCGTTAATTCACCCCATATACTAGATCCTCTACAGCGTTGGTCTATCTCTGTTCAGGGGAGAGGAAGCCCGACGCGGAGCTACGAAACGTTGACGTAGTTTTTGTTTCTTTGTGGAGGTGTCTTATGGGGTGTTGAGGTGGGGGGACAACGTGTTATGCGACGTACCCTCCCGCCCCACGGCTAGGATTTGATCGTTTAATGGTCTGCGTCGCGGCTCCCGGTTAAGTCGTTACCGCTTTCTTGAACGACGGCGAACTACCCGGTAAACAACGATACGCCTTTTTCACATAACCTCCACCCATCATCTAGCCTTTTAAAAAACAAAATGGGTCACAAATTAACCCATATACTACCCATAATTTGCCCACACTGCTTTTTCCGAGTGATCGTTGGTTAATCCAAAGTGAGATTCTGACAGACAGACAAGACAGTATACATCACATCTAACCTTCACGTTTTACCGCCATCGGCACCCATATCACCAACCCCCTAATGCATCACTGCGAGCAATTTACGCACATATCCCTGTGAGCGCGAGTAAATAAAGTAATAACAGCGCCCATAAGCGAGATACTACACACCGTCGACCAGACTACCCGGTAAACGTGCATAGCGGCGAACGACCGAATAGAGGAACGATCTTTACGTCACACGAGCCTATGAGGGCCGAGGTTACGACGAGATCCGCCGTACCCTTAACACGCCCCCTCCCCCCCCCCATACTCCCAGAGAGCTATGGGGTCACTCGGGAAAGTACCCTATACCCACACGCTGTCTCGGAATAGGTCCATCTTGTACCCCACCAATGCCCACAGCACGTTCTTGCGGCAACACCATTTCCCTATCCCATCTAGCTGTGAGCGGACCATCGATCACTGACACACAAATGTACATATATGAAGCTGCAATTAAACCGATATTTGACAGAATTAAAAAAACAAAAAACAATTACATCTTCGAATAAACAACGAGAGGACGTGAACGAACGATTACGGCGACTGTAAACACCAGTGTCGTTACTATCAGGTCGTTATACAATTCATTTGATAATTTCCGACCCTAATTACTCTCTCGATATGGTCGTTATGAGATAAGGTTAACGACCCTCCAGTAATTTGGCTTCTAATCACCTTAATGATGGTGTTTAAATGTAATTAGTCAAGTTAATTGCCTATGTAACCTTTAATTACCCTCTTAAGCTCATTAGTGACATTCTTATGGTTAATTACCCAATTCTATAGTCTAATCAAACATAGAACTAATTAATGAACACCTGTACATCATTACTGGTACAATAACAATTACTTTCCACAGGTTGAGGATCTAAGACCACTAATTAAAACACTTCAGCTAATTACAGTAAGAATAACATCAATATTCTCATAGGTTAAGCCCCAAAGACCGCTAATTACCAGGGCACAGAATCGCTCGTTACTACACCCAAATGTCTCTCAGTACCACCTCGTTATTGACGTCCTCTCGTTTACCAAAATAAACTCCCAGGATTAGTGACAATTAAACTGTACAGGTATTAATCTTCGTATATATATATATATTATAATAAATCTTAAGGCATTATTGTTAGGTTATTTTAGCTGGGGGTATAATTATTGTGTTGATGATGCCTTGAGAAAGAGAGAGAGAGAGAGAGAGAGAGAGAGAGAGAGAGAGAGAGAGAGAGAGAGAGAGTCTTTCAGTTCTGAGATAACAAACATATTCTTAGCTGCAACAATAAGCTATACAGTCGATTTTAGCTGCAGCACAAGTAAATGATCTTGCACTAGGAAAAATACTATAATATTTAGCTGCAGTTATCACAAAGGTTAATTTCATTGTTACACATATTAAGTCAATTTAGGCTGCAATAACAAGAGGGAGGGAGGGAGGGAGGGAGGAAGGGAGGAAGGAAGGAAGGAAGGAGGGAGGAAGGAGGAAGGAAGGAAGGAAGGAAGGAAGGAAGGAAGGAAGGGAGGGAGGGAGGGAGGGAGGAAGAAAATCTTACATAAACTAAACCTAAACATAACTAGACAATCTACATCACTAACTCAAGAGCTCCCTTGTACCGAAATCCTTGTCCCACTGAACTGAGGAAAGTCATACAGACAGACAGATAACCTCCCGAGTGCTTTAACCAATAATAATAATAAACCTCGCACTCGTTGTTGAGTAAGAATGACACCCCGAGGCTTACGTCCACCTGCGTCATGGGGTAGCCCGGGGGTCCACACAGACATCGACACGGTTTCTCGACCAATTGCGGCTTGTGAAATTTGCATCCATTTCAAGAAGAATTTGATTGCCCATGTGATGCCCAATGCTGGTGTGAGTGTCGGATAGCGCCGTACGGTACAGTGTCGTAGGGCATAGCGTCGGGTAGCGCCATACGGCAGACCATCGTGCTAAACACAGCTTACGTCTTGGTAAGTTTGCCAGCACGTCGTAGGAGAAATAATATGAATCCTGGTGTGAGATGCTTGGGGTAATACTGTGTGAAGAGGTGGTTACTGGAAGAGACTGGTAGTGGTGATGCTTGTAAGGACTGGATAACTGTGTGTCGGGAGAAATAACCGTGTGTCGACCAGTTAAAAAAAGTGACTGGACCTCTACGTGTTGAAAGTAACTGGGGGGCAATCCGCGACAGAAAGATCGACAAATCAACAAGATAGACAAAAAAAATAAAGAAATACAACTAGCACACTGGTTCATTAGGGTTCTGAGCGCCTAATTGCCTTGTTCCATAGGGGTGATTCTTCTCTATCTCTCTGTCAGTATCTTGTTGTCTTCTTCGATACAGCAGCGGTGACATCTATAGGCAGTGCAGGAACCTAGAAGGAGAGAAATTGCATAAGTTTAGCCTCTTGAGTATGATGCCTAACCACTGAGTACGATGTCAAACCCCATGAGTAAAATATATCAATCCAGTGAGTTATATAGTTAAATTTCTTGAGTACAATGATTTAACCCCTTGAATACAATGACTTAACCCCTTGAGTACAATAATTTCACCCCTTCAGTACAATGACTGAGTGATTCATTGTGGTAATTACACCCTGACGACCCAATATCTTAAGGTCACATATCACAGAATTAAAAATAAACCTTAATATACTATAATAAAACCAGGTGGGAAAAACTAAACCAATTAATGGAGAATTTTCGTAAACATCGTAAGTTAATGGACGATATCTTACTACCTCCCCCCTAGACCCCACACCACCACCCCCCTAGAGCTCGTTACAATGACCGACCTTATAATTTACATCCTCGACGACGTCCCTCACTCCGTCGACTGTTGTTGTATCTCGATCTTTTCCACCGTCATGTCGGGGTTCATACTAGTTGCCTCCTGTATGGCATCGGCCAGAGCTCGGTCGTGGTCTATGGGGTCTCCGTCGCTCTGAATAGTGATCTTCTGCTCGACGCGCGTCTCCAGTACCCCGTCCTTCTCCGTCTTGTACTGCGGAGAGGGTATTGAGAGGGGGGCGTTGAGTTTGTTTAGGGTATGGGGTGGGTTTTGATAACAGGTATTTTTTTTACATTTCAGCCGATTTCTCTCTCTCTCTCTCTCTCTCTCTCTCTCTCTCTCTCTCTCTCTCTCAACATTCTTCCTCATTCCACACTCCAGCAGCAAGGGAGGAATGCACTGTACACACACATTAAGTAAAGAAAACACTCTGGCATTGGGACTGTCATTAACCGCAAAATGACTAACATAAAACAAGTGTGTGTGTGTGTGTGTGTGTGTGTGTGTGTGTGTGTCCCTATCTAAACAATCTTATTAATATACAACAAATCTCAATATGTATTATCATAAAACTAACCCCAAACCGTCGAGCAAACAACTAGGGTTTACGACTGGGTGAAATTCAACGTTAAATTGGGGTAGGTTATGATTGGTTAACTACTCAGTGTTAAGACAGGTTGAGAGGTTATGATTGGTTACCTAAGTGGAGGAGAAGGAGGAGATGGTGTGGGTTTGTTCGTCGTTGATGGTGATGGAGTGGGGTGTGGTTCCTCGAGTCGTCCTGTGATCAAGCAAGTGTGGGGTGAGGTAGGGTAGGGTGAGGTAGGGTAGGGTGGGGTAGGGTAGGGTGGGGTAGGGTAGGGTGGGGTAAGGTGGGCTAGGGTTAAATAGGGTAAGGAACGTTCTTTGGTGGAGGAGACGAGAGAGAGAGAGAGGGGGGGTGGGGGATGACTAGTTATCACGAGACCACCACACTACCACATGCAACATCCACCGCAGACAGACAGACTTACACTAGGGTGCCACCACACGACGTTCACTCCCACAAACACGGACCCCACAATCACCGTAAAACTCCAATATAGTGAAACCTCCCTTTAACGGACCTCGATACAATGGACTATCCCCACCCGTGCGTTATATGGAGGTTTCACTATAGAGTCAAAGAGTTGTGTTGCCATACACCAATACCCAGATGCAGTACATACCCATAACACAACCAGGAAATACCCATAACACAACCAGGACACACCCATAACACAACCTGTACTTACTCAAGGCTGTAAAGTAAACACACGATTATTACAGGTACAGTATAAATCTGGTCTTAATAATCACTTAATTAGGGTAACTATTAATCATATTGAATGTAATTAAGGACTACAGGTAATTACATGGATTTTGTAATTAGATCAGTGTTATATATGTGGTAATTACAGCTTTGATTATGTGATTTGGATGTCTAGTTAACTACATGAATGGTGATTAGAGATATATAATTAGTCCAAATAATTACCTGGACTTCTTAATTACCTTAGAGGAACATATAATTACTGTCAAGATTATATTTAATTGTATAAATCCAATTTTAATTAATCTGTCAAGAAATCTGGTAAAATCTGGAAAATAAAACAAACACATTAGTAAACAAACAAACAAACAAACTAACAAACAAACAAACAAACACACAAACACACACACACACACACACACGGTTATAATAAACATAACCCACTAAGGGGGGGGGATGGGGGGGTAGGGAGGAGGGAAGGGTAGGGAGGAGGGAAGGGTAGGGTAGGGAGGAGGAGGGGTAGGGAAGAGGGAGGGAGGGGGGGAGGAGGGAGTCTCTACCATGTTGCTGAGACATTCATCACCAGTACAGTCAAGCCACTAGTACAGTCACACCAGTACAGTCACACCAGTACAGTCACACCAGTACAGTTACCAGCCCAAAGGAGGTAATAAGCTCAAATAAATAAAACAGCGGAGAATAAATACGATAGATAAAGCAGCAGGTACGAGGAGAGGCATAAGACGATGATAGAGGCGGGTAGCACATACAGATAACTTGCAGGAGAGTGAAGAAACAGACGGAGAATATATACACAGGCGATGATGATGTAAACGGTGGCGGACGCGTGGCGGATCGGGTGGCGCCGTTTTGTCCCCCGAGGCCCCGTGGCGGTCGTGTTATCGTCACTAGGGGCGGGTTCCTTTGGGAGGGTCGTCTCGGTGTTGTCGTCTGCCGGGGTGAGCGCCGTTGCCTCTGGGGGTTTTCCGTCGTTGCATTTTCGAGGTTGGTTTGCGGTGTCGGACGTACGAGGGTCTTTCTTGTTTGAGGTTAAATTTCCGTCGTTGCGTTTTCTCATTTGCTTTGGGGTGTCGGATGTAGGGATGAGATTGGCTTTTTCTGCCAGAGCATCGTCGGGCGCTTGTGGGGCCGACGGTAAGATGGGTTCCAACTTGGCAGAGTCGTGGTCGGTATTAGCGTTAAGTGTCCGTCCGTGAATAGATACACCATGGGGCGCTGGTGACGGGAAACTGACAGATAAATAAGTACTGCAATCGGTCCAAAGTGAATCAACATGTCGAGATGTCTGATTGGGTGATGGTGTGCGAGATGGGACACTCATAGCCAAAAATGGATGAATTGGGACATTCACTGGAGTAACCTGGGACATTGGGACACACACTGGAGTAAGCCGACACACTGGGACATCCACTAAAGTAAGCCGACACAATGGGACATCAACTGGGGTAAGTTCGGATATTGGGACACCCACTTTAGTTTGAAAGGTTGGATTATCACCTTCAGATTTCGATACCAGGACATCCACACATGATTGGGACACCGGACCACCCACTAGAGACGACTGAATGGGGATTAGGACACCCACGGACGTGACGGCAAGAGACTCTACGAACGGTGACGAATTAAGACACGACACTTCCGGGATTTCAGGAACAATATCAAATGACGTACTTCCCCAGAGGCTATTTTGCGATGACGAATGGCAAGCCGGGATCCTGTAAGCTGCTATGCCATCTATGGTGTCTGTCTTGTTGTTGACGTACCTCGATTCAGACGGTCTGCTTAACGTGACTAGATTTTGCGACGCCGAACGACACGCTGGGAGGTTATAATTTGATGGGCCTTCTGATAAATCTTCTGAGGGGTTTTCTGATAGCCCTTCTGATAAATCTTCTGAGGGGTTTTGTACTTTGTTTATGTATTTCAAGGAAGATGGTAAGGTGGTAGATGATTGTGTGATGAATACAGATGGTGAAATTCCTGAAACATTCATTTCTGATGTTGCCTCACACACCGGGACGCTATAAACCATGAGATCGTTCGAGATATTTTCCGTTGCATCCACGGATCTCGGAGAGGAGGAGAGCACTGGGGTGGGCGTCGGAGAAGCTCTTATGGCTGACGCGCTTCCTATATCCCGAACTCTTGCTGTCGATTCCAACTCTGGGATTCGAGGCCGTGATTCCAACTCTGGGATTCTGTAGATTGAAATATCATCCGAGAGACATTGATTCTTATTTATAAATGTCTGGGACGGAGATAATAAGACACTTGGAGACTGACAGACATGTTGTGTGGGAGACTGACAGACATGTTGTGACTCGGAGATGATTACAGATGACGATTCGGTTGCGATTCGAGGCGGCGATTCCATCGTTGGGATTCTATTGGCCGAGACGTCAGGCACGGAAGCCCGTTTGTCGTTTACGTATTCCCAGGATGATCTAGAATTAGGGTGTGATTCTTGTGAGCTTTTGGGAGTAATTAAATCCCAGGATGAACTGGAAGTGTCTGAAGAGCATAATGGGTAATTCCGATTGGCCAGTGTTTCTGTCGACCAATCAGAGACGATGTGTATTTCCTGACCGGGCTTAACACAATCCTCCCCTACTCCCTTACAGTCGACAATTGTTGCATCGACTGGAATTGTCCGGTTATGGATACTCCTGTTAACTGTTCCATCTGTCTGAAAGAGGAGGGATGGAGGGAGAAGAGGAGGGAGAGGAGGAGGAGGTGAGGACAAGGTATTGATAGTAACATCGACCCACGAGGGAACAGGAGGAGGAGGAGGAAGAGGAGGAGGAGGAGGAAGAGGAGGAGGAAGAGGAGGTATAGGAGAGGAAGAATGACCAGTAAATACGGTCTGGGCTGGGCTGCCGTCTACGTCCCCTTGACTAGGCCCCAAGACACTACCACCAGCCCCCACCCCCCCCACCACACTGAAGAAGAGGGCGCCACCTACAGTAGTGGTCTCGACTGTTCGGGTACGGGAGGAGATGGACTGCGCGCTCACGACCACCGCATTCTCGTCCAGATTCAAGTCCCCCAGCACGGAAACCTGGCGGAAATCGGGGGAGAAGAGAGAAAAAAAAAACAAAATATGTGATGATTCAGCTCTAGGGTTGTCTGTGTGTGTTGTTTATTGTTTACATTGACGGGGAATATTGTTATCCTGGTTGTGTGATTTTTTTTTGGGGGTGGGGAGGGGGGGTTGGTGTTCTGTTGATGTTTTGTTGATATCTGTTGATGTTGACATTTTCTTGGTATTCTGTTGATATTTGTTGAGGTCTATAACTAATTGTCGGGGTTTTTGGCGAGACTTATATTGTAAAACATTATCTTAACTCTCTCGGCTAAGAAACTAACACTCAGCCTCGCGGCACCAACAATGGACTACACGTCAAGTAACTCAAAAAATATTCAGAGACTGACTGAACACTGAACGGCCATTTGACAGACGTCGTTTTCTTCGAGTGGGGTCTATCACCTTCCCCCAGATGGCGTTGTTCGAGTGTGTGATGCGTGGTTTCCCTCCGGCCATTAGAGCGAGGGGGGGGTGAACCACTTGGCCCTTTTAAGTGTTCCAAGAGTTTTTGTGTTGTGTTATTTTTATGCCACGATCTTCTATATTTGTTCTTTATTTTGGTATATAGTAAATATCAATAAACCCCATAATACAAGGTAAAAATGGAAATCGAGATGTAAACAGATATTTTCCTACTTTTTTAATTTATACTAGAAAAAAGTGGTTTAAATTTCAAGAATATCCAATTTTTTAGTTTCATACAATTTTCCAGACAATTTTATGCTATAAGAAATGCCATTACAGTTACTAAAACAATTCCATGGTAGTGAAATGAGAACTAATTTTTTTTTTTAGGGATTTTTCGGTAAAAATCTCCGAGGCCGAGCGTGAGTTGACGTGTGTCTTTGAGTCTCAGGCTCCGAGGGTGTGTGTGTGTGTGTGTGTGTGTGTGTGTGTGTGTGTGTGTGTGTGCGATGTATAGTGTATAAGAGAAATATGATACATACATGTGTGTCTGTGTGTATACATGTGTCAAACAAACGTACACATGCGATAGTAACATGTACACATAAAACCAGCATTATATAACATCATCCAGCACCTGAAACGATAACACTAATAAAAATAATAAATATTACAGAAAATATATAAAAAAAAACTGAGGGAAAAATTAAGCTGATGAGGGACAAATAAGCTGATGAGGGACAATTAAGCTGATAATTTACTCTACAACACAACTACGGTCTGGGTTAAGCTCGGTGATAACCCTCACACCGGACTAGATCTCAAGTCTCTTCTCATCAAGCTTTTCCCCATCAATCTCCCAGCTTAATAGTACATACTCCCATGCAACATGCTTTCAAGCTTTGTGAGGGATGGTATCATGTGTTGCAGTAAGCTTTGACAACCTGCAGTGCAATATCAACAGACAGGTGGGGTGGAGGGGGTGAGGAGAGGGACATACCAGTGCTGTCTGATCTACATATGGAGGGAGAGAAGTGAGGTGGGGGGGGGAGGAGGGGGGGAGGGGAGGAGGGGACGGAGAGGTTCCGGTCTCCGTCACCTCAGACCAGCACAAACCTTCCGAGTCTCCGTCTCCACTAAGGGCGGGGCCTCGACGCTCATGGTGGTGTAGACTCCGCTGCCGTCGAACACCTGGGCCTCCGTGGGCACGATGCCATCCTGCGGAGAAACGAGAGTAAGAGACCGTCGGTGCTCAACCCTAGGAGATAAATACACCGCGCGTCGTTCGTCTCCCGTAAACGACGACTCGATAACGATCATTTAAGTATAGTAATGATGTACCAACTGTGTGGGTTATATCTGTGTCTTAACAACGATCATTATGGAACTAATTTGAGACTTCTTGGTGATATATTATGGTGCAAGGCTGTGATCTCCTGCTTGGTCCCGAGTTAACGTACACTGCTCATGTACGCCAGAATGTGATGAATAAACAGACATACATACATACATACCCTCTCGTGATTAAATATAACCCTACACACTATAGCCAACTGGAAATATTTAAACAATTCCACAACTAATATAAAGTTATTAACAATATACCTGAGCAATATAAGTGAATATATTATCTACACCCACATCATTATCTAAAAGTACTAACTAATAAAATGGCTACCACATATTTTATGACATTTTACGCCAATTAATGATCCGGGTCGACGGGATACTAACACACGCTCTACGCCACGACTGACCGACGTGGACGCAGGTAAACACTCACCTTATTTACTAAATCGTAATCGGAGTCCAAGGGGTCGACTGAGGTCCCCGAGTCGTCGCTGCCGCTGGAGATTGTCCGCGGGCGTGACTGTGCTTCGTACCCAGCCTGGGGGTATTGGTACGAACGGATGGTATTGGGTGTTACCATTTTCGTTCTTAGGGCGTAGGAGAGAGGTGGCCTAGGGGGTGTGTGTGGGGGGGCTCGTTACTGTGTTATGGGGGGTTAGTCTGGGGAGGAGAAGGGGGGAGTTAAGGCAGAATGCAAAATAAACAATGGTTCTCGAAGCACTAGATGGGTCCTTGTGTGGGGTGGGGTGGGGTGGGGGTAATTCTCACTAAAGAAGCATTGTTAAATAAGAAACAAGTACAGAACAGGACAATAAAAATGAATAAAAAGCTAAATTATTCTGTTGGATAAAGCTAAAACACATTTTTTTTAAAGCAGATTCATTGGAAAGTTTGTTAAGTAAAGCTCAAGTTAATTTGAGTCACTTGATTTAGCTTAGTCAAGTTAACATGATGATATTTTAACATGTTAATTCCCTCTTAATCTAACTTAACCTAAACTAACTTAACCTGACACTAACCTAATCTAACTTAACCCGACAGTAACATAACCTGCCTTAACTTTAACCTAACCTACCCTCCCTAACAATACCCTACCCCTACCCTACCCTACCCTGCCCTAACCTACCCCTACCCTACCCTACCCTACCCTACCCTACCCTGCCCTAACCTAACCTACCCCCAATTCTACCCTACCCCTACCCTACCCTAACCTACCCCTACCCTACCCTACCCTACCCTACCCCACCCCTACCATACCCTACCCTACCCTAACCTACCCCTACCCTACCCTACCCTACCCACCAGGTGAAATACACTGGGGTAGGGTCTATATCCAAGTGACTCAAACATCTTATAGCACGTAAACAATAACAATATATACAACGATAAGTAAACAAATAAGCAAAATATCGAGATAAGGAAAGAAACAAAACATGCCTGGTAGTAAATGAAGATTGACTTTGAGGTTTATTATTAAAAACTAGATGTACAGTGGAAACCTCGTTATATCAAGGGTCCGTTTGATAAACCTGAACTATATAGAGATGAAAGTCCATTATATCGAGGGTCCGTTTGATGTTAAACCTCCATATAATGAACTATATAGAGATGAAAGTCCATTATATCGAGGGTTCATTTGATGTTAAACCTCCATATAATGAACTATATAGAGATGAAAGTCCATTATATCGAGGGTCCGTTAGATGTTAAACCTCCATATAATGAACTATATAGAGATGAAAGTCCATTATATCAAGGGTCCGTCAGATGTTAAACCTCCATATAATGAACTATATAGAGATGAAAGTCCATTACATCGAGGGTCCATTTCATGTTAAACCTCCATATAATGAACTATATAGAGATGAAAGTCCACTATATCAAGGTTTCACTGTATACTAAAGGGGGTTTATTCCAGTACGTGATATATATCCTGTCTAATAAACATGCACAACAAAATATCATACAATAAATCATTAAGGTTCATTCTAGTTTATTCTATATCAGGATTTTCAACCTTATCATGCAAAACAAAATGACACAAGAGGCATGAAAGGTCTTTAAGGCTCATTCAGTTGTCATTTATAACAGGATTTTCAACTTAACATGCAGGGCAAATTGACACAAGGCATGATAGGTCTTTAAGGGGGCCATTCGGGTTAAATGTTGCGTAATCGTCGTAAATGCGAGCAAAACAAAAACAAACAAGGAGCGTCGAGACGAGTTTGAGAGATCAGGGGGGGGGGGGTGTTACCTGTGACGATGTATTAACGACTTCTATAAAAGACTTTCGTGGGTCATTAACAACTTCATGGGATAACTACCTGTGGGGTCATTAACGACTTTGAGGGATAATTATTTACCTGTGGGGTCATTAACGACTTTGAGGGATAATTATCTACTTGTGGGGTCATTAACGACTTTGAGGGGATAATTATCTACCTGTGGGGTCATTAACGACTTTGAGGGGATAATTATCTACCTGTGGGGTCATTAACGCCTTTGAGGGGATAATTATTTACCTGTGGGGTCATTAACGACTTCATGGGATGATGATTTACCTGTGTTGGCGGCAGGTTCTGGGTGACCTCTGGGGCGATGGAACGTGTCTGTTTCTTGACCTCCTGCGTAACGACCATCTGTTCCTGCGTCGTGCCCGTTGTTTTGGTCGTGGCGGTGAATGTCTTCTCCTGTAGCTGTAGGGGTAGGGGGGGGGGAGACGTTAGGTATAGGAGGACGAGGTATGGAGATTAATCCTCGGAGACTAATAATAATGATGGGAGGTTGACGTCTCGGAGGACACGCACGCACACACGCACGCGCACACACACACGCACACACACACACACACACCTCAAAACTAGTTACAACCTACACAAAAACATTTAAAAACACCATAACTCAAATTTACTATAAAAAAATTAAAAAATCACAATACAAATCAAATAAATCGGACCTTTGTAAGAATTAAATCAAAACTTGGGTTATAACTATGATTCCTGACTATATATTTTAAACAACCCCTAAACAACAACAACACTTGCAACATCTAGGCAACACAACACAACTCAAGATTTAGCAACACCAGAACTCTGATTTATTTACAGATTTACAAGTATATGATTAATCTGCCATTGACAATAAAAATCTGGGATAATGAGGAATTGTAGAGATGGAGATGATATCATTTTAACCATAGGTGGGAACTAGTTTAACATAGGTGGGAACTAGTTAAAACATGGGTGGGAACTAGTTAAAACATGGGTGGGAACTAGTTAAAACATGGGTGGGAACTAGTGAAACATAGGTGGGAACTAGTGAAACATAGGTGGGAACTAGTTTAAACATAGACTAGCGTAAATTTTAACAAAGAAAACGCGTGTAAAAAAATGCTACAAAAACGTAAATAAACATCGTCGGCGGGGCTATGGGGGCCAATACACAGAGCACGTACCTGTTGCGTACGTTCCTTGGTGCTCTTATCCTCGAGGCTCTGAGCGGTGATGGTGGTGACCGTGGTGGCCGTAACGTGGGGCTTCTCCCCGCCGTCGTTATTGCCTCCGTGTTCCGCCTGTAACCACACCAAATGCGCAATACGTCAAGGCTATAATGTACAAGCGGTGCGTTCTACTAGCTTGGAGGTGATGTTTTTGTTGTGTAGGGTGTGTAGGGGTGTGTATTGTGATTGGTATACATGCATGGACGTATACACACCTACCTACGACACACACACATGTATATATATATATACACACATACACCTTCCTACAACACACATATACAACTACAAACACACACCCACCTACCTATAAAATGCTCACACATACATGCGCACACATCTACAAAACACACACACACACACACCTGCCTACAAAATACTCACACACACACACACACACCCACCTATAAAACACTCACACATACACACACACACACACACACACAAACACGTACAAAACACTCACACACACCCACCTACCTACAAAACACACATACACACCTCAAACGCAAAAGACATTTCATCGTAATTCATCATCAACAAACTTCATCATCTTTAAGTAACGTCTCACTCAACTTTTAAACCAATGAAGAATAATAATGAAGGGGATGATGTATAATGTTTTACCATACAGCTTTATACAATGAAGGAAAATAATGTTAATTCACAGGCTAAATAATACACGAGGATATGGGGTCAGTTTCCTCACTTGGGTTCGAGTCATTCGCCGACGGGTAACGGAACGATGACGACAGACCGCGATTGACGGTGCGTAACGAGGCATATTATCCACAGGGTCGTTTTAAGAAGATAGACGACCTGGTCGGAATGGTTTACGTGTGATTGTTTCTTTGTCAACGACCCTGTGTCTCATCTCTGGTACGGGAATCGGCAGCACCGTCGATCGTTGATGTCTGGCGTCGTTCCGTTACCCGCGGCGACGTTGAATGGCTCATGCCGTGCACGCTAGGCTAATTGACGACATTCTGAGGGTGCACACTAGGGCTATGTTAGGTTAGGTTTGGGTTATGACACACTGGGGCTATGACACACTAGGGGCTATGACACACTGGAGGCTATAACACACTAGGGGCTATAACACACTAGGGACTATAACACACTAGGGGCTATAAGCAAACACTTAAGATAATGGGGGGGGGAGGGGGGGGGTTAATAAGCCAGACAGCAGGAACAAAACAAAGATCATCTCCCACCTTCTCAGACTGTGTGTTGACCTCCACCTGCCCTGTAGCGAGGTCCTCCACCTGCTGAACGGTGTCTTGGGTGATTCCCTCGGCATCCTGGACGAACGTCTTCTTGGTTGTCGTCTTGATGATTTTGGGGACGGTCGAGTCGTGGGCCGGGTCGACCGCCGAGGAGGAGCGGTCGGGGGAGAAGGAGGCGAAGGAGGAGGTCGCCCCGGGGTTGATGACGAGAGAGGCGTCGGAGTGGTCGGCCGCGTACGACCTCTCCGACTCGGCCAGAGTCCGGTCGATGTCCCCGGGTTCCATTCCCTCGCGGTTCTCCATCACCACGCTTTCGTCGGAGCTGGAACTGTCGCTGGAACTGTCACTGGAACTGTCGCTGGAACTACTACTGGAGTCCTTGGTGCTGAAGATGCCAAACCTTCCCTTCTTCTTGGCTTTATCCTTCTTGGCTTTATCCTTCTTGGCTTTATCTTTCTTTCCTTTATCTTTCTTCTGCTTATCTTTCTTCTCTTTCTCCTTCTTCTCTTTCTCTTTCTTCTTCTTCTCCTTCTCTTTCTTCTCCTTCTTATCCTTCTCTTTCTCCTTCTTATCCTTCTTCTTGTCCTTCTTGCCCACCAGGAAGCCTCCCATGATGCCGGTCGAGTCGGCCGAGGTGTCCAGGACCCCCTCGTCCACCGAGGTCTCCGGCAGGGTGTTGTCCGGGGAGGAGGAAGATGCGGCCACGTCCGGCCCCCCGCTCTTGGCCGTCTCCTCCCCCGGGTCTCGGCCGCTCTCCGACGTGCTCGTCTTGCGCTTCTCCGCCACCTTGGAGTCCTCCCCCGGGGCGTAGTTGAAGGCCTGGGCCCTCACGCGTCTCCTCTCGGCGGCCCGCATCTCCGCACTGTCTCGGTCTCCCTCTTCCCCCGTCTTGTCGTACTTGAACCCGTGACCCGTGGGGCTGTAGGGGCGCCGGGGCTCGTTCTCCAGCTCCTCGTAGGAGTACTGTCGGGTGAAGGGCGGAGACCCCGGCTCGTCGGGGTCCTGGAAGACGGTGCGATGGGTCTTGACGAGGGGATCCGCCCCGACGGCGTCCACCGGGGCGTCGGGGCCGGCCTTCCGTCCCTCGAGCGTCTTATACCCGGGGGGCGGGGTGGAAGACGGAGGTTCGCCGTTCTACACACAACAAAAACAAGAGACTCGGGGAAACAACTAACAAACAAAATCAATCAATAAACATAAACCCTCAAACACTAGCATCTTAAAACAAAAGGATCGAGCATTAAACCAACATAAAACACAGCGTTCTGGGGGGTGGGGGGGACACTGTCATCACGGTGAGAGGCGGGACGCGACGCATGCTGTTGTGTACGTCCACTAACGGCGACCCAACGAGGAGAGAGAGAGAGAGAGAGAGAGATTTGTGTGACTCGTACTTTGGTCGACTTTGTTTATTATGCTTGACCCCAACACTAAATACCTACAATGACCTGACCTGACCAAACTCTAATCATCTACAACTTGACCTGACCTAACTCTATATACCTACACCTTAATCTGACATTGACCTAACTAACCCAACCAGACTTAAATTAGCCCAACCTGACATATAAACCACACCCTGACAGACACACCACACCCTGACGAGACAGACACACCACACCCTGACAGACACACCACACCCTGACACACCACACCCTGACAGACACACCACACCCTGACAGACACACCACACCCTGACAGAGACACACCACACCCTGACAGACACACCACACCCTGACAGACACACCACACCCTGACAGACACACCACACCCTGACAGACACACCACACCCTGGCAGACATTATCTCTTCTGCACCACACTAACCTAATCTACGCCACACAAACTCCCTATTGGGTCGCCGTTAAGGGGTCAAAGGTCATGACCCGCCCAGCACTCCTCCACCCTAAACCATGCTTTGGGGGTCATGCTACACGGGGCCAAATACACGAGCCAAGCGTTAACAATTATGTCAACAAACCAAAACAATAATAAACATGCTCGTTCGGTAGTTTGCGAGTCCATAATTCTGCTGCCAAGTGGAATTTACACGATATGATTGAGGTATTTTGACAGAATTTGTGGTCTGGTGTATAATTCTTTCAACTCTTAAGATTATTAACTTGTGATTATTGATGCTGTTAGGATCACTGTCTATAATAATTGGTGTATAATTATATAAACAACCGCTTGCGCTAATACCCGGAACAGCGTCTGAAGTTGTTTTGTAAGATGTGGCAACACTGTTTGTTTACATGGTATTACAACTCCCAGAAATAGCTCTAAGATGTGGCAACGCTGTGTTTGTTTACATGGTATTACAACTCCCGGTTGGCCCCTAACGAGCCTCGGAATAGTAGCCGGACTAACGACCCAAGACAAGCATTACCCCGTGTCCTAATATGAACTCCGCATGTCCAAATAACACTCCATTATGTCCTAAAATGACTCTAGTTTGTCGCAATTTCCGAGAGGCTGCGTAGCGGTAGCCGGCAGCATTGCATCACAAGCGGGGTAGAGCCGTGGCGCTATACTGCATTTTATTCAACGCTCTGTAGTGATGCTCGACGATTCCCCCCATCAGTTATCTATTAGCCAGTATAGCAGCGGGTATAGCAGATATATATAGCGGACAAGCTGCAGGCTATACCGTAAATACTGAATTATATAGCAAAATATTTCCGTTATGCTGTGTATTTTACGAGCAAGCTTACGGCTATAGTGTATCCAATATGTAATCACCGACGCGTTAAAATATATCAATCGTTTTATTTTTGTTTACCTTTTGTAGCTTAGAGAGGAAATATTGTTGATTAGATAATTGGGCGGTCCGATTGATAGTTGCGAATCGACCAATGGCGACCAAATCAGGTTCTTGGGTAGAGAAAGAGCCGGGCATCAACCTGAGACGAGAATCTGATTTGGACGCCATTGGTCGATTCGTTGCTGCCAATCGGAGCGCCTCAACCGTGTCGGGAATTTCCGTCGAGTCTAAACCGACGGAGAACGTGAATTGTACTTGATCTTTGGGGGGGGGGGGACCATTATTGTGTGTTGTTGTTGTTGTTTGTGTGTATGGTCGTCTGGGCATTCGTGTCGACGTTTCTGGAGTATTCTGGACTAGGCATTCGTGTTCCAACAAGATGTAGGTACGATGTGTGTGTGTGCATGTTTAATCTCACCACGTGTCCCAACAAGCTGTGTGTCTAATTACTCTAAAACTCCAACTACCGAGCGAATCATAAGACATTTACGTCTAGCGGGCGATACCACCCGTCGTGCCTTGGGGTATCTAGGGTCTGGGGAGTGGGGGGGGGGATACATAAAGGGCATGACTAGCTCACCTGTATAGAGGCATTACTACCCATCATGCCCAGAGGAAAGGCATAAGAGAATCGTGACTCACCTTTGCTGCTGCAGCAGCTGCGGCGGCAGCCTCCTCCTCGGCCAGGGCAAGCTTCTCGGCCCGTTTCTTCGTGGCCTTCATGAGGTCGGCCATCGGGAGTACGGCCACACCCCCTACTGGCCTCTGTGGACGTGATAGTAATATAAAAAATTAGCGCTTTAGGCTCGGCAGGAAACTCACGGTGAGGTTGTTGATGTATTACTCAGCCTCAGTTTTGGTCTTGTTGTTGTTGTTTATGTTATCACTACTGTACAGAACTACAGCCTTGTCATTGTTGTTATTACTACTACTGTAAACTTCAACAACAACAACTAAAGCCTTCTTGTTATTACTAAACAATCACTCGAAAAACATAACAGAGATACAGTGTTTTGGGTGACAGTACCTCGAGGGTCATTAAGCACATTACACCCCACCAATAATGTACAGTGTCGTTAAAGATTCTTCAAACGCTGGTGGAGAAACCTGGCAACTCGAGGCCGTTTGTTGACCATAGTAGGTAGTATAATATGAAACAACAAAGCCCGATCATTAAATTAAGCAACGGGGAACTAAGTAACCAATCACAGATCACTATTTGAAGAATCTTGAACGAGACCAGACCATAGATCAGTCATTCAACAAATAATAATTAAAGATACAGGAAGCAACAGCGATTGGCTCAACACACAAAAACAACAAACAAACAAACACCAAGCGACAAAACTATCATATTATTTATTACGACGATAAAAGCGACAAAAAATAAGACAATTTTACTTGTAAGACGTCTGATTGGACAAACACAAACTAATGAGAAATACTACTAATAAGAGTCACTACTTCGACATAAACACATAGCACAGAACAAAAACAAACTCACGAGAAATATTACAAAAACAAACTTACAAAAATACAGTGTAACCTCCATATAACGCACTTCACATCTCACGGACCCTCGATATAACGGACTTTCATCTGTATATAGTTTGTTATATGGAGGTTTCGTATCTAACGGACCCTCGATATAATGGACTTTCATCTCCATACAGTCCGTTAAATAGGGGTTACACTGTACTACTTTCCGAAGATGATAATAACTGGCGTAAACAAAGTAAAACTACAAGAATAATTGAGAGAGTTTGATAAGAGTGACCCTAAGAGTTAAGTTCCCTCTGGGGTCAACTGGACGAACTATGGTGTCGTTGATGGGTAGTTAAGGAACGATCGTCTTGTGCCATTCGGGGTTAAGTTAGGGTTGGGTTAGTATAGGTGAGGTTAGTGTTAGGCTAGGGTGGGTTAGATTAGGTTAAAATCTCAAACAGACTAAGATCAATCCTTCACCTCATTCCAGAACCAAACTCGTGATGCTGAGATTGGAGGTCAGGTCAGGTCAGGTCAGGTTCAGGGCAGGTTAGGTTAGGTTAAAGATCGTGATAAACAGCCAAGACCGGACTCTCACGACGTCCTCGGTGGGCTGTGCCAAAATGCGCGACACACCGGCGTCCCAATGTAGAGTGGGGCTACGTGAGACCAGAATAAAGGGGCAAGACGCAGCACACACACAGGAGGTCATGCTAGGCAAACACAGCACACACACACAGGTCATGCTAGGCAAACACAGCACACACACACAGGTCAGGTAGGCAAACACAGCACACACACACACAGCACACAGGTCATGCTAGGCAAACACAGCACACACACACAGTCACAAACACAGCACACACACACAGGTCATGCTAGGCAAACACAGCACACACACACAGGTCATGCTAGGCAAACACAGCACACACACACAGGTCATCATGCTAGGCAAACACAGCACACACACACAGGTCATGCTAGGCAAACACAGCACACACACACAGGTCATGCTAGGCAAACACAAAAGCAAAAAATAAAAAAAAGCAGAAAATACCCGATGGTTAGACGACAGAGGTAAGCTGTCTCTTGGGGGGGTAAAGGAGGAGGTGTTTGAGTCGTTAATCAGTTCAGGCAGGTGTGGGTGTCAGTTCAGGCAGGTGTGGGTGTCAGTTCAGGCAGGTGTAGGGTCAGTTCAGGCAGGTATGGGGTCAGTTCAGGCAGGTGTAGGGGTCAGTTCAGGCAGGTGTAGGGGTCAGTTCAGGTAAGACCCTCAGGAGTTTTAAAGACCCCCTGAGTATATGACAAGACCCTCAGGAATTTTAAAGACCCTCAAGACTTAAACACCAAGAAGTCAATAGACAGGAAGCAATATTATTAAAAGGAGGGGAGGGAGGGCAGAGGAAGGGAAGGGAGAAAGAAAAATAAATGATGCTGTTGTCATCGCATTCATTACAGGCAAGACTTTAGAATAATGATGATGATGATGATGATGATGATGATGATGATGATGATGATGATGATGATGATGAACACAGAACTCATCACCGTGGTGGCGAGAGAGAGAGGCCCTTCATCCGTACCTTAGTCTTGTCCCCGGGAGGCGGCTCAAAGTTTCCCTCGTCGGAACTAACAGAGCTCAAGGAAGAAGCCCCACTGCCACGACTGGTTCGCCTCTGGTGGGGGTATGGGGGGGAGAGAGGAGGGGAGGAGGTCCACGCGCATACCACCACATACCAGGAGGGGGGGGAGGGGTGTGGGGTTGATATTAGGATGTGAGAGAGGTGGAAATGTGTGTGTGTGTGTGTGTGTGTGTGTGCGTGTGTGTGTGTGTGTGTGAAAAAGGTAGAATTAGTCAGAGATAAAGGCAAGAGGGGGGGGATGAGGTATGGTGGGGCGGGGCAGGGCCAGGCGGGGGAGGGGAGGAAACATGCCAGGTTAGTAAGGAAGAATGGCATCATAAAACTGGTCGTCCAAAACATTGAGACGTGATACTCCTCTGGTTAATGTTATGTAGGGGCACGCACGCACGCACGCACGCACGCACGCACGCACGCACGCACACACACACACACACACACAACAGAACAGCAGCATATCTGAATCATCTAAATAAATAACCTAACCTAACTAGCCCCAACCTAACCTAACCAAAATATACTAGTATGAATAAATATGAACCTAACTGCTCATAAACTTAACCTAATGACACTTAATGTAGCTTAACTGATGTAATTACAACCATGAACTAAACTAACCTAACCTGGCCAATTTTAACATATATTAACACTCAGGGAGTTTAACACACTATTCTAACACTGGATAAGATATAGTTTAACAGTTATGAGAAGTTAAATTATATATTAACATTATTTAACATTTAAGAATTACCTAAGGGTTTTTTTAAACAGTATATCAGGAGTAATTAAATTTTATGTAATGAAATATAGATTCAATTCTTGGATGCCATTAACGCCGTCTAAAACTACCATTAAACCTTCGTACAGATCGTGGCAGGCCTGAGTCGTTACCAGAGACCAGGCAGGGGCAACCTCAGTCATGGGCCACCTAACCCACAAGTTAGGTTAATATTGTATTAGAGCAGACAGTGAAGCAGTTTATCATCAGGCCTACTATGCGTTTCCGAGGTGCGATTTAGGTGTTATTCTGGAGGTACTTAATTAGTTACCTCAAGTGACCACCACCACCCAGGGCCCTACTTAGATTTAACCCAACTTCAGCTAATCCCTAAGTGACCTAGCAGCTAATCCATCAGACAGACAGCACTGAACTTGGCCCATAAACCCACACAAGATAAATATTGTTGACTATTAATACTTATTTCACTGTCACATTATCATAGTTATTTACTGTTAGGTGATGAAACAGTAATGTCTGTGAAGATTATTCTGTTAATAAATATTGTTTCACTCACCATAAACTTGGCTGCATCTACCTGAGCCACTGGCCACATTAAATAAAATATCTCTATCCCTCTATGGGCCGCACAAACACATGGCCCGGGCTGTGGGTTGGCCATGCCTGCCATAGACGACAAACCACTATGCCAAATTAGCCCACACCTCAACCTGTACATAACAATGACTAGTCCATTCCTCGTTCGTTCACGCTGCCAAAGTTAGGTTAGGGTAGTTTAGTACACACAAACACTCTCAGTGACAAAGACTAGAGCACTTCTCGTTCCTTCAAGCTGCGAACGAGCACGGGGATTGTTAGTAAAAGCCAAAACTAAACGATGATATTAGTTACTGTAGCATCGTTACGTTCCCCACTTACTGCCCAACGACGAAACGACATTCGTTAAGTGTCGGATCTCCCAAAACACTACTTGTATGGTTATTACAACTAACTACCATTAGAATATCTGTGTAGCTAACCTAACCTAACCTGACCGCCGCCACAAGAGTAGGTCGAGCCGTCAATACGTACCTTATCTTTCTTCTCTGGGGTGCGTTCCTCGGCCCCAGGTGTGTCTCGGCCGCTCTCGCCCTTCCCCCCGTCCTTCCCCGGCGCCTCCTCTAGCCCGGGGATGTGAGGCGGTGGATGGGACATCGTATGCCTTTTGGACATCTCTGGAGTGTCGCCTGTCCGTGTTCCTAAAGCTGCGAGAATCAAAACAAAATCTCAGTAATAGAAAATGGATCGAAAATTTGCGGGAATCGAATAAAAACAAACATTCCCTCGGCAATATCTAAACATTACAGTGATTCAGCCAACTAGACCACTTGATTGAGCCAACTAGACCACTTAAGTTGTTTAAATGAATAACACGAGTAAAGTTATTCATTAAAAGAGAAAATAAGAAGTTAATGTAGAAAATAGTGAAGATACATTCAATATTACATCATCAACCAGGAGGGAAAACACATGACAAAAAGTTTAGAAAAATTACAAATTTTTTAGAAGGGGAAAATTTCAAGTTAAAAAAGACCAGTCCAAAAATTTATTACCAAAAATTAATTAGCCACACCTCAAGCACCTTACAAGTTATTAATGATTTATAGTGTAACCTCTATTTAAAGGACGCCTCTCTATATAGTCCGTTAGATGGAAGTTTTACATCTAACGGACCCTCGATATAATGGACTTTCATCTCTATATAGTTCGTTAGATGGAGGTTTAACATCTAACGGACCATCGATATAATGGACTTTCATCTCTATATAGTTCATTAGATGGAGGTTTAACATCTAACGGACCCTCGATATAATGGACTTTCATCTTCATATAGTTCATTAGATGGAGGTTTAACATCTAACGGACCCTCGATATAATGGACTTTCATCTTTATATAGTTCATTAGATGGAGGTTTAACATCTAACAGACCCTCGATATAATGGACTTTCATCTCGATATAGTTCATTAAATAGAGGTTTTACATCAAACAGACCCTCGATATAATGGACTTTCACCTCTATATAGTTCATTAAATAGAGGTTACACTGTATACCCAAGGCCCCAAAAAAGTCTTCGAGAGCAAAAATAAAACCAGCGCGGTAACCCATAGGCCCCAAGCTACAGACGTTAACAATAACACCAAAATTAATTAACAAATTTAACGCGGTGACCCTAAGTCCAAGCTACGGACGTTAACATTTACACCAACGTTAATTAACAAGGAGTTTAACACATATAGGGCAATAATCAGCGGCTGTTGAGGAGGTTAACATGTTAATAGTTGAATGGAATGTTGAGTAGCGACTGTTATTTGGCCCCCAAGGTTAGTGTACCTCTCTTAGGGTGTCTTACCTGACCTGACCTTATATGACTGGACCTGACAAAACCTAACCTAACCTGACATAAAAATAACCTAACCAGATATGATATAACCTAATGTGACTGAACCTAACCTACATAAATCACAGCTAAAATAATCATAATAATCCACTTTTCATCAATAACTCGTAATATAATCCTAACTAATATAATCACTTATTATTAATTCAAACTCCCTTGTGGCAAAGTACTGAACTAGAAATTATTAGATTATAGATATATTAAATTACTTTATATATCTTCTATAATTTAAAGTTTGAGTTATAACTTAATAATATAATTAGATATTTCTGTTATTCTAGGCTTAATTACTATTAATCTCAGGGTCAACAAGGGTCAACGTTACACCGCTGATATGACCCCAATGACTACACGCAATGCTAAATACAAAATCACCTCGACGTTTTCACTACGATGGATAAACAAACAAAAACACAGTTAAATATTAAATAAAAACAGCAAAAAAAAACCAAACACAAGGGTTAATATGGTCGTCCTTCAACCACATCCAGCGTAAGACATATTAGGGGTAAACAAAATCTATGGGTATATTATACACTAGGTGGATGATAACCTCTGTACATACACATGGGGCGTTACCTCAGGTCCTGCGGTAGGCTTGGGGAGAGGGTGGGGGAGAGAGGGGGGGGATGTAAACAAATCATCACATACAGGTCGAGCAATGGCCTGGGGTCTTGCACGGTGGACGATCGTCGGCGATGGTGGGCGGAGCCGTGTCGTGGCGGTAAATTTCGCGGCAATTTTTTTTAAACGCCGTCGAATCGCGGCAAATACCCGACTAAATTAGAAGACAACGTTGAATAATATCTTTGAAAATAACAATAGAATGATAGATATAAGTTGACTAGAGAAGACAGAACTTGAATCACTTTAAAATATCAATTAATAGGGAGAACAACAGAGCCCGATCAAGTGTCGAGGCCGGGGGGGATTTGTGTTTACGGAGACCGGAGGCTCGAGACCATCGCTGACGTCATCCCGTGCGACCGCAGTGAGTCTGGGTAGAGAGGGGAGACAAGAGGAACGGAATGAGAGGGAGGGAGGTGAGGAACGGAGCGAAAACGGGATAGGGACGGGACGAGAGGTTAAAAATCCCATGCGCGAGCTACAGAGTGAGTGTTTGTTTAGCCTCCCAAGCCTTTTACCATCGAAGCCGAAGAAGTCAATATAAGGAATATCTTGCTCACTATCAGAAGCATGATTACTGTTGTCCATACCACCAGTCCCCCATGCATGACTACCTTTGTGATTGGTACTAGAGGAGGTGGAGGAGGTAGATCCCCGCGGCACGTTGCTAGCGTTCTTATGGGCTGCAATGCGATAACAGGCAGGGAGTTAAGATGGCCGCTTTCTCTCACGGAGAAGGGGGAGGGGGGGGGGTACATTACCTCTTTATAAAGCTGTCATTATCATCATTATTATACAGCCATTCACGAACATTCACATAATCATCAACTGTCTCCGATGATGGTAAATTCAACACGTCGGTCGTAATCATAGATAAGACACAACTTTAGCCCCCAAGCCAATTTATTTAAGTACAGTCTCCTTGACTAGTGCGTCTACAGGGGCTCGTTGGGTTTTGTGCAGTGTGGCAGTCCTGTGTTTGTTTACATTCGACAGAAGGAAACTCGCAATGGTATAAACAATTAAAATAATATCAAAACAAATATCTCAAAGAAAATGTTTACGTGGAATGTTTAAGAGACGAAAATTTTTGTGGAATGCGTATAAGACGAGCTCCTGTAAACACACTAGTGAAGGGGACTTTACCTCTGGCTCACGTACAAACATACCCCACGGCAAAACAACAAACACTTCCGCGGTACTTGGTGAAAAGTACGATCCTTACCCCCCCTCCCTCAATACCCTGGGCTAATCATCAACACTACTCATATGAAAGCATTTTGAAAGCCCTGTTGATAAGACAAGACATTCCTACAGCATTCAAGAAAGGAAACAGACATCAAAACAAACATGATAATGGCTATATGTCTAAGTTCTAATGAAGGGAATAATATTAAGAGAAGGAGAGACTTTAGCAACCACACACAATGTCTTCGGAGAAACGTACACACACACACGGACGTACATGTTTTTTGTGGTGCTCGTGTGAACGTTTGTATAGCGAGAGCAACGTGTGCCTGAGGTCTGCCACAAGCCACTGCCACGATACAAACGTACAAGCGACCCCCACGACGACCCACAAACCAGTGTGTAAAATAATCTCCGAGACACCGGTCAATAATAAAAACATTACCGAGAAAACAAACGTAAACATTCCGCATCCCCGAAGGACTAACGTCTACACAGAGCACAAGACATCGAACATGTAAACAACACTATCTGTCTAGGCATGCATAAAGCGATCACTGACCCTCCATAATATTGTAGGCTTAAGAATCGTGTCGCAATGCAGCAGTGGGGGGGCAGGAGAGAGAGAGACAAAAAATAAATTACTCTCGTTACGTAAACAAGATGTGGGGGGGGTGGTGGGGGGTGAAACAACATCGCGACGCCTGTGCATTTCACTACCAGCCGGGACTCTTACTGGTTTAGGGGTCAAGCGTTTATCCATACACACTGTGGGAATAAAATCTGTGGTGGGAATAAAGTCCGGGATTATGACAGGGGATGACGGACGGAACACGACTACTCAGCTGTGGGGTGTCCAAAGATCACATCACCGAAACACAAGAGAGAGGAACACAGAAATCTGATCATCGAATATCTGTTTAGGGTCTGATATTTCTCCTCTATAAACTGGGCTCTTGGACCTTATTGGGCATCCGAGGACGAGACACAAACAAGAATTATGATTTGGGGGTAATTCCTCGACTTAATGACCAAGAACTAAATTGAAACGAGAATTACCATTGTATTAAGCGCGCGGGGGGGGGGAGGGGGGGGACATCGTTACGTAGGGTAAATTGGCTTTCTCGACCTTAAACGACTTCCGAGGACAAACCCCAAACAAGAATTAAAACTCCGATGGGTCGTTTCACTTCGTCCCGGTTGACTCGTGGCGTGAAAATGCACAGACTGGATATAGTGTCCACGATACTTACGACCTCGTTGAGAATGCTGAAGTGTTCCTCTGGGATGGGGGGAGTTAATGATTGGTTTGGCCTGTCTGTCTGGGGAACGAACAGACCAACAGCAGTGGATCTTTACTCAGACATTTATGAGATCAAGAGGGGGAAAAAATTTATCATGTTAAATGTCGACCACAGTCTAGGGTGTTGAGTGGTGGTGATAGTGGTGCAGGGTGGTGGTGGTGGTGGTCAAGTCATCGTTACCATACTCAAGGGGTTAAATCACCATACTCAAGCCTAATAACCAATAATTAACCCATGGCCAAACATCACCACCAAGCCAAACACCACCTCGACCCATGACTGCGGTCGACCGGACAATCACCCACGAAACGCTAAACCACATCTCAACGACGAGGCCGCCAGTACCATCAAAACTGGGAGTGACCTAACATGACCTAACGAGGCGCCCCCATTGGAGAATTACCAGGGGGAATATTAGCGTGGGGAAAAAATATATATAATACCAAGAATAATGTCGAAAAATTATTGCAAGAATAAATATTTTCCAATACAAAATACTTACTATTGAATAAATACATCAAATAGTTAACATTGGTGAAGTAATTTGAAGTAGTTTGACCATTAGGTAGTATTTAAGGGATTTTCACCATTATGCAAAATTAAAGGGAATCTCTGTTTTTGGTAAGAGGTGAATAATGGAGGCATCTGGGTGATATTTCTAGAGGAATTTCTGTAATTATTCTCATAGGCAGATGGGTAAAATAAAATAGTTAGGGGTACACACACACAAACATGTATACAGAGTTACACACACAAATGTACACTCACTCACTCACTAGCCAATTATTTAAGCTATTTAACTAACTCACAAATACACTATAATCTATTAAAAAAAAAACACTAACACACACACAAACACACCCTAACACTACACACACCCTAACACTACAACACACACACACACGCACACACACACACACACACACACACACACGCACACATATTATTATTACACTACCCGACCAGTAGTAACTCTAGGCTCTCATTGATGGCGGTTAACTATAACAGGAAGTAAATTAAAGAAAAAAGATGATAAATTATGTAAATGTAGGATGTTATCTTTTAATTAGAGTCAATAAAGGGGATTCCAAGACCCATTTACACCATGACTGAAATATTGGAAGAATTTTATGATTTTTTGAGAATTTAATAAAGAAAATTCCAAGATGGTTTAGAAAAGTTGAAATATTGGAAGAATTTTATGATTTTTCGAGAATTTAATAAAGAAAATTCCAATATAATTTAGATTAAAGTTGAAATATTGAAAGATTTTTATAATTTTTACAAGAAAAGACAATCCCAACACCAGCTTAATTTTTAAAAACACTACAGTTTATATTAAAAGTTGAAAAAGAAAATAAACTCAACAGAGATGAATTTAACTACAGAAACCTTATCTAGTTTTGGCAATAAGTGCAAGAGGTGCAGTAACAGGTGCTTCAAACACACTGATAAGACTTGTGTTCTAATGCAATAATCTTTGCAATGTGGGACTCAATAACTAGCCTGGCATCTACACACACACAAGGATGGTTGGTACAGTGAAACCTCGATATAATGGACTTTCATCTCTAATTACCTCGTTAGATGGGGTGTTTACATCTAACGGACCCTCGATATAATGGACTTTCATTTCTAATTACCTCGTTAGATGGGGTGTTTACATCTAACGGACCCTCGATATAATGGACTTCATCTCTAATTCCCTCGTAAGATGGGGGTGTTTACATCTAACGGACCCTCGATATAATGGACTTTCATCTCTAATTACCTTGTTAGATGGGGTGTTCACTGTACATCTGACAGACCCTCGATATAATGGACACCCTTCAATATAGTCCCTTAAATAGAGGTTTCACTGTAATCGCCAAACACCTGACATATCTGCCTCTTAGCCCCATCTCATACTAAACACAGCAATCTGAGAAATCTAAAAAAAAAATGCCGATACGTTTGTCGACTTTTCCGACGAAACGCACCACCTCCCCGCCCCCCCCAATCTTACCGTCCATACTCCGCGACGACAGCTTCCTTCTGCTTAGGGTTCTTTCGAATTCGGGATTGTTGCGGTCGCTAAGATTTGCGGCCATACGGGACTGGTATTGCGTGCGGCCGGAGTAGCGGAACTTGGACCCCAGACGTGGCCATAGACCTTGTTTCTGCGGCGGCTCTGGGGTCATTAATCTGTAAACAAACCAGCGATGTTGGGTAACCTTCTGGGGGGTCATCGGTGTTAACAAAAGTGTAAAAAACACCGCTCCATTTACTTGTCCCTATCACATCAATTAGAATGAAGAGCAACACTGAACACACTAAGCGATCTATTGAAGCAGTCCCACACAACTCTCGATAATAACAAAAGAAATATCAACCACACCAAGCGATCTGGCAAAATTAACACCCAACCATCAATTAGTACCAAAACAAGCGCCCCCCCCCCACACACTGAGCGATCAAGTGGAATTAATACTTAACCACCAATTAAAGCTATAAAAATAGTTACCATACTAGCGATCCGACGACAATATCTAAACAAGCGTCCCCCCCCCCCCAGACACACACTAAGCGACGTACACACAATCACTCACCTGAAGAAAGTGTGGTGTTCGACGCACACTTTCCACAACCTCTTAGCTGCCTTGTGATTGGGTAACTTGAAGCCGATGGTCGACTCGAAGGTTTCAAATTCGCCCGGTCGTATCTTAATGTAGAAGTTGCTGCGTTTATACGAGATCTTGAGAATCTTGGGCCATGCGAACCGGTTAATGCGTAGTCTAGGGGGTAGAGGAAGGAGTTAGTATTGGGGTCGTGATGCTATACGTGGGGAAGTGTTTGTTGATGCCTTTATCCAGTAATCTATCCTAGCTTAGGGTATGTCAACCTAACCTAACCAAACCTATAAATGCCTAACATAACCTAACCTACTCTGGACTTTCTTAACCTACACTTACCTGACTTAACCTACCCTAACTGACTTAACCTACCCTAACCAAGCTTTATCCCAACCTAACCTAACCTACCCTAACCAAGCTTTATCCCAACCTAACCTAACCTACCCTAACCAAGCTTTATCCCAACCTAACCTAACCTAACCTACCCTAACCAAGCTTTATCCCAACCTAACCTAACCTCCGTCAACACCAACAACACTCACTTATCTCTGTACACTAGGAGGCCCGACGCACACACCCCTAGCATGATGTCTACGCCCTCCGAGTCCTTGGCTGAGTGCATGTCCACGCCGTACATGGCTAATTTCTTGGCGTTTTCGAGATAATGGAGTTCTGCCTCGGCTGGTGTCTGGCCTCTGGGGGTGTAAAGAAATCATTATCTTTCATTATTATCATCATCATTGTCAATATGGTTTTAAGGCCACATTCTTGACCTGCCCTCGTTCCCACCAAATCCCCAATGTCTTGAGTATCATTTAAAGAAACCAAAGGCGAAAAATAACCCACTATGGTCTTTATGGAACCCTAATTGAACCACTAAGCTCTATATGGACCCCCTAAATGAGCCGCTAAACTCTATATGGACCCCCTAAATGAGTCTCTAAACTCTATATGGACCCCCTAAATGAACCTCTAAACTCTACATGGACCCCTAAATGAATCGCTAAACTCTACATGGACCCCTAAATGAGCCTCTAAACTCTATATGGACCCCTAAATGAGCCTCTAAACTCTACATGGACCCCTAAATGAACCTCTAAACTCTACATGGACCCCTAAATGAACCACTAGACTCAAAATGTACCCCTATGAACCCCAAAACGAACCAGTACTTCTAATATGGGCAGGTAAACGAACCCCCCACACCACCACAACTCACTTGTGGGTCTTGTGTAAATCCACGACTTTCTCCTCCAGTTCTGTGTTCTGATTGGGCGCGAAGGTGAACTCGGAGAGGTAGGTCGTGCCCGAGTGTTCCTTGGGGTCGTAGTCGCCGACCTCCGCCTGAACCATGTAGGACCCCAGGAGTGCGTGGGTGACGAACGAACACGGTAGTTTGCCCGTTAGGATGTCTTGGCGGACCTGTTGGCAGAAAAAGGACGTGATTGGTGGTGTTGTTGGCAGAAAAAGGACGTGATTGGTGGAGGTGTTGGCAGAAAAGGACGTGATTGGTGGAGGTGTTGGCAGAAAAGGACGTGATTGGTGGAGGTGTTGGCAGAAAAGGACGTGATTGGTGGAGGAGTTGAGAGTTTATCTCCCTCTGACTTGTTAATATTCTCCCTACTTTCTCTCTCCCTCACACACTCTCTCTCCCTCACACTCTCTCTCTCTCTCTCTCTCCTCACTACCTCCCTCACACACACCTCTCTCCCTCCCTCACTACCTGGAGACACAGTTGGTATCGGTAATATCTTCAATAACTGTGTGGGCTCTAGGGCTAACCTCGACCTAACACTTGGGCAGAAAAACCTCACCTGGAGACATAGTTGGTATCGAGTAATATCTTCAGCCAACTGTGTGGGATCCGGAGGTAAACTTGACCTCGAACTTGAACTCCCACGGCCCCTTCACCTGCTTGGAAGTCCTCTTTTCCAGGTTGAGCCAATTAGTGGTGTTGTTGGCGGTCGACGTAGAGGAGGCCAAAGTAGTCCTTCTCGAGGAGGTTGATGCGGTCTGCGATGCTCACCACCAGGTCGATCCCTTTGGCCTTTTTCTGTTGACAACGGGATGGTGTTTAGGGTCTGTTTATAGTTTAATTAATGACTTAATCTAACCGAACCTAACCTAATTCTAAACTAATCTAATGCTAATCTAATCTAACCCAATATAACTTAACCTAATGCTAGTCTAACTTAACCAAATGCTATTCTAACCTAATATAACTTAACCTAAACTAACACCAGTCTAACATAATCTTAACTAGACTAATATAACCTAAGTAAACCTAACCTAACTAAACTAACTAACCTAACCTAACCTAACCCTTTAACAGACTCAGCCAAGAACAGGGACAATTGTGTATGCAGTGTGTGTGTGGTTAGATGGCATTGAGAGTTAATGCAGTCATCTCATGTGTACCAAGGAATACTGAGGTGTGTGTGTGTGTGTGTGTTTTAATCTACTTTCCTCACACACACACACTACCACCACACACTACTAGCGCACACACCCTCACACACACACACTACCACCACACACTACTAGAGCACACACACCCTCACACACACACACACACACTACCACCACACACTACTAGCGCACACACACCCTCACACACACACACACTACCACCACACTACTAGTGCACACACCCTCACACACACACACACACACACACAACTACCCACACTTTTCTGGCGCACACACCCTCACACACACACACACACACACACAACTACCACCACACACTACTAGCGCAGACACACTTGTACATCTTCCCTAGCACCCTGGTGGCGGTGGACACACACACACACACACACACACACACACACGATGAATAATTGTGAGTTCTTATGGTAGCTAACCTAACCTAACCAAGCCTAACCTAGTCTTACTTTATCTTCATTGGTTAGGTTAGGTTATCTACCAATCTATCCCTGGGGTTAACTCACTCTATCTATCTATCCATCCATCCACCTATCTATCTATCTATCTATCTATCTATCTATCTATCTATCTATCAATCTATCTATTTATCCATCTATATATATATCCATCTATCCATTATGTATCCATCCATCCATCTATCTATCCATTATCTATCCATCCATCTATCTATCCATTATCTATCTATCCATCCACCCATCTATCCATCCATCCACCTATCTATCCATTATCTATCCATCCATCTATCTATCCATCTATCTATCCACCGGCTCACCTCAATGGCCACTTCGCAGTCCGTCCCGTCGAGCAGCTTGACCCGGGTGAGGACCATCTTACCCCGCGGGGCTTTGGCCGGGGATTTACTGGGGGACCCCGAGGCCTTCGTCTCCGCCCCGACGCCATTCTCGCCCTTACCCGCCTTCTCCTCCGGCATAGCTGCGGGTGTCTGGGGGGAGGGGGGGGGGTCAAACGTAAACATTAGAGAGGGTTGGGTGCTGGTATGAGAGGTTTAATTAAATACATCCAAATTCTCCCTTACAATTAACTAAACCAGACAAATTACATAGTTCAACCTAATTACCCTCCCCCCCCCCCAAAAATATACAGTTCAATAATACATAGAGACTAATGACCCCAAATGCAAACAGCTAATTCAAAAAGGTATCACTGTAACGACATCATTGTATCCATGCTAAGTGGTTCTGGCATTACACTAGGGAAAACCTCTAACGACCACAAGCTCGTTAGAGGGCATAAATGGGGCATAACTACCAAAAAAATCTGATTGTTAGATAGTTAAAGTTATTAGTAGTAGTAGAAATTAGTTACATGGCATTACCTACTGTGCTAGGATAATGCAACGACCGGTGACGTACTTGAGGCCAGAAACGAACGAGGCTATTCATAATTGCAGCCTCTGGGGGTCACCTGATCATTAGCCCACCCCCCCCTTAAATGTTCACCTGAAATCACCCCAAGTTTATCCAGCCTGAAACTATCTGGGGGGGGGGGGGGGGGGGGGGGCTAATGCTCAGGTGATCCGTAGACTAAAAAATAACAAATGGCATCGTTCGTGGCGTTAACATCATCACCGTAAACAAATCATCTATTGACATCAACCCGGAGGTGACATCAAAAGACCCGTAGAAGCATGAAGCGATGTTGGCAGCAGCCGAGCCTAAACTAGTGCACCAAACGGGACGACGGACGCTCAAAAAAACAGCCGTACCCCCATTACCGAGATGATAAACAAGGGTACGGTAGGTCTAATGAATACCCGAGTGAGACGCGTATCAAGCCTGGAAAAAACAGATGCTGTGTTTGAGGTAACGCGACCGATGGCAAAGACGGAAAAAGTTACCTCCTTAGGGTGGATGGGTCTCCGAAAGCCCCACGAGACAGTAGACGTGATTGGCCGATCTGATGATAGAGCAAGAAATCTGATTGGCTCACAGTTCAAAATCGTGGGAGAAGGGGGGATATAAAAATGCTAACCTAACCTAAAAAGCTCTAGGGTAGAAGGAGGGCAGGGGGGGGTTGTCTGACCTACAAACACAACATTATTCTAACCACGTGATCGAAACTCCGGGATATAAAATACTAAACAGCGGAGAGAGAGAGAGAGAGAGAGAGAGAGAGAGAGAGAGAGACTAGCAGTATAAAACAGCGTCATCGGCCAACAACAATATGCCAGCACAGTAAGTCGAGCGTAAAACTTACTAAACTGTGGCCAAAGTAGAATAATTTATCTCTCAGCGCCAACATGGTCTGTGTACCAGTGAGATGAGGGGGGGGGGAGGAGGGAGGCTGTAAGAGACGTGGCAGAAAAAACATTTGATCGCGGGTATATATATTTGGTTTGGGGTGTTAGAGGTACAGTACATATATATAGTCCTGTGTGTGTGTGTGTGTGTGTGTGAGGTCTTAGTAGGTAGTTGTTTAAGGGAATTCTATAGTTGACTATTTCCAGGTATTTTTAGTTCTATATTAACTGAGATACTATGTTAGTCCACAAGACACACTCACACAACACAGAGTACAATGTTATAGACGCCAGAAACACTACAAATTAATAAACGCCAGAACACAACACAATGTTATAAACGCCAAAAACACACTATAAATTAATAAACGCCAGAACACAACACAATGTTATAAACGCTCGAAAACACTACAAATTAATAAACTCCAGAACACAACACAATGTTATAAACGCCAAACACACTATAAATTAATAAACGCCAGAACACAAGACAATGTTATAAACGCCGAAAACACTTCAAATTAATAAACTCCAGAACACACCATAATATTATAAATGCCAAACACACTACACACACAATGTTAAAACCGTCGTCTAAGCTTTATTATCTGTCTAGCCACAACGCAAACAACTCACAGTGCAACACCCCATAGTGGGCGCTGGCCTGTTCAAGCAGCAACCCTAACCTCAACGCTGCCAAGAGGAACAACAGTTAAGCGGATCCATCGACACAAACACACGACACATAAGTCTTTCTCTAGGGTCCAACATACACACATGAGGTACAGTCGTCGGAGAATCTAACTCACGTTCGATCGTCACAAATATCGTCCTCGTTAACGATCTACGTACACCAACGATGTGGTTTACACTCGGTACTATGTGCCAATGGAGTGCAACTGTATCGGCGAATTAAAAAAAACACACACACACAAAAGCATGTACGTCCACAAATCCTCCCAAAACCAGACTGACTAACATATACACACACACACACCAGTACATACACGGGTCTCATTGTCAACACTAACAATAACAAACATAAAAAAAATAATAGACAACAGTCCGGCCCTTGGAGGTGTGGCACTAGGGGGGGCGGCTATTGTCTCCCTGCCTCGGCTTCCTGCCTCGAGAACATATCTTCTGATGATCTTGGCCCAGTATTGTTTTGTATTCCAGACATGTTTCATTCTCTCTCTCCATCTATTCTCTTCTCTCTCCAAAAATAATCCCATGTTAATCTAAAATCCCACAATTAATCCCACCTAACCCCCCAAAGAGATCCGCTGCTGGTTACTCAGAGAACCGGATTCGAATCGGCATCCCTACAGTTAAAAACGTTGATGAACACGACGTAATAACAAACTTGGTGATTATGGTAGGAGTCATGACCTTTTTACACACACACACACACACACACACACACACACACACACACACACACACACACACACACACTATATTGACTCCCATACATCTGGGGGCCTTCAGCTCAGGGGTGTGTCGTGGGTGTATGGCTTCTGTTGTTTGGGTGATAATAGCGACGCTAATCCGTCCGAACACACTCACAGGTGACGCATAAGGGTGCTTAATCGCGACGCACTAATGGGGTGGTGGGGGGTGGGGGGTGGGGGTGGGGTGGGGGTGGGGTGGGGGTGGTGGGGGTGGGTAATCTTCAGGTGATGTCACAACTCCTCGGTATCAACACTTAAGCGCACACAGAGTAAAATAGTCCAATCGATTCCTAGAGGTTACTTTAAGGCGTCGAGGATAAACACCGTGTGTAGCTAGACAACACCGTGTGACAAGGAATAATACACACTTATTATACACACACACACACACACCCTCCCTCTCTCACTCACACACACACACACACACACTAACCAATGCTTCTTTCCCATACACTTGTCACCAAACAGTCATACAGACAATCAATCACTCCTTATCAATCTAATTTTGTATTATTTTACCTGAAGATTAGACACCCTAGTTCACCTGATGATTAGACACCCTTATGCTAACCTGACCTAACCTACCATAACCTAACCTAAGGCCCAAGGAAACACTAGGGTGTCTAATAATCAGGTAAAATAAACTAATATACAGTATACACATTCAAGAGGACAAGTGTACTGATAACCTCCAAGTGATTACAGTACACAAACACCACAACCACCGATCAAGCTGTAAATACCAAAGATAACGACCTGACACCGTAATCAGCTTGGGGTAACGGACAGGGGGGGGGGGTGTTAACAGGTGAGCGGACGAATGGACGAATCACAGCCGAGGTCAAGAGGTCAATCTAGTTAGGGCCTCTCTACACCCTCCCCCCACTGAGAGGGAGGGGGGAGTGGGGGGGGTAATCTTCAGGTGAGCCTTATATATAAACTAAAACACTATATACACCAATGTATATATAAGTGTTCGTACATCTGTCACCTCATGTTACTGATTTATTACGACGTGTAAATACAGAAACAATAACAATATCCGTCACAAATATGAACTCCACTACGCATCAGAGTCGAGTTCTGTTCATATTTGTTCTGTGGATGAGATTTTATTTTTTGTATTTCACAACAGATATACAATTTTAATATGGGAACACTGATCACTTGAAGATTAGACACCCCAGTTTATTTCACCTGAAGATAAAACACCCCAATGGAAATCTAATTTAACCTAACTTAAATTAACTTAATCTAATGTTAACCTAACTTTAACTAACTCAATCTAATGTTAACCTAACTTTAACGTAATCTAATGTTAACCTAACTTAAACTAACTTAATCTAATGTTAACCTAACTTTAACTAACTTAATCTAATGTTAACCTAACTTTAACTATAATCTAATGTTAACCTAACTTAATCTAATGTTAACCTAACTTAATCTAACACTAAACCCCAGGTAGCATTGGGGTGTCTAATCTACAGGTGTTTCCTAATCATCGGTTTTCTTGATTTTAAAGCAACTTCCCGAGGCTGCCAGTGTGAGTGTTTACCTCGGGATGACTTCTTTGGGGTGGGAAGAGGGAAGGAGGGGACTTCTCTATCCCCCAAGCCAGGGTCCTAACAGCGGAAAAAGTCGCATGCTATTTTTCCCCGCTGGTTCTGCCTCGGGATTCATAATTCTAACGTGTCGTGGGAAGGTTTACGAGCTTTGCTTTATTTCACCTGATGATTAAATGCTACACGGTGGGGTTAGGACTGGGTTAGCATTGGGTTAGGTTAGTTAGTGTTAGGTTAGGATAGAGTTAAATTAAGTTAGTGTTAGGGAAGGTCAGGTTAATGTTAGGTTGGGTTAGGATAGAGTTAAGCTAGGTTAATGTTAGATTAGGACAGGTTAGATTAAGAATGGTTGGGTTAGGATAGAGTTAAGCTAGGTTAATGTTAGATTAGGACAGGTTAGATTAAGAATGGTTGGGTTAGGATAGAGTTGCTTAGGTTAATGTTAGATTAGGACAGGTTAGATTAAGAATGGTTGGGTTAGGATAGAGTTAAGCTAGGTTAATATTAGATTAGGACAGGTTAGATTAAGAATGGTTGGGTTAGGATAGAGTTAAGCTAGGTTAAAGTTAGATTAGGACAGGTTAGATTAAGAATGGTTGGGTTAGGATAGAGTTAAGCTAGGTTAATGTTAGATTAGGACAGATTAGATTAAGAATGGTTAGGTTAGGATAGAGTTAAGCTAGGTTAATATATTAGATTAGGACAGATTAGATTAAGAATGGTTAGGTTAGGATACTTAGGTTAAGTAGTATGATGGTTAGGTTAGGTTACCATTAAATCTGGCTCGCCCGTCAGTCTAATCACCAGGTGAAATAATCAATGGTATCTCCTCCTCATATCACCTGTTCTTATAACCAATACAATCACCTGAGCTGTCACCTCAACAATCATAACCTAACCAAACCCAACACTAACCCAACACTAACCAACACTAACCAACCAAACCCAACACTAACCAACCAAACCCAACACTAACCCAACCAAACCCAACACTAACCCAACACTAACCCAACACTAACCTAACCAAACCCAACACTAACCCAACCAAACCCAACACTAACCCAACCAAACCCAACACTAACCCAACCAAACCCAACACTAACCCAACCAAACCCAACACTAACCCAACACTACCCAACCAAACCCAACCAAACCCAACACTAACCCAACCAAACCCAACACTAACCCACCAAGCCCAACACTAACCCAACACAAACCCAACACTAACCCAACCAAACCCAACACTAACCCAACCAAACCCAACCAAACCCAACACTAACCCAACCAAACCCAACACTAACCCAACCAAACCCAACACTAACCCAACCAAACCCAACACTAACCCAACACTAACCCAACCAAACCCAACACTAACCCAACCAAACCCAACACTAACCCAACCCTAACTTAACCCAGGTAGGATTAGTGGTATTTAATTAACAAGGGAAATAAACAGTGATCTCTACAACCCAACTTAACCTAACCCTAACTTAACCCAGGTAGGATTAGAGGTATTTAATTAACAAGGGAAATAAACAGTGATCTCTACAACCCAACTTAACCTAACCCTAACTTAACCCAACATAAACCTAACCTAACCCCACACAAACCTAACCTAACCCCAGTACACAATTTGATAATATTCAGTTATAATTCCTTAAAAAATCCTTAATAATTAATAATAAGTTTAAGTTATTAATTCCCATATATATATATCTGTAAAGTATATATCAATTAATATATAAGTAATTAATATAGAGTGAATATATCATTATTTAGTGAGTTATTGAAGAAATGACAAATACTTAATAATAATAATAATAATAATAATAATAATAATAATAATAAAAATAATAATAATAATAATAATAAATATAATAATAATAATAAAAATAATAATAATAATAATAATAATAATAATAATAATAATAATAATAATAAAAATAATAATAATAATAATAATAATAATAATAATAATAATAATAATAATAAAAATAATAATATCCAATAAAATTTAAAAAAATACCAAAAAAATAAAAATAAAATAAAAAATACGAGAAATAAATTAATGTAAATATTATTGTTTATTATTAGTTAAAAGACAAGCATTTAATTACGAAGTATTTAAAAACTCCTAAATTATTGAAATTCTAGTTTATTCGTTATTTACGGTGATTTACAACCTATTGATAAGATAGATTAAATATTTGTGATCATAAAAACATCATAAAAACTACAAAATATTTTATCAATTGAGAGAAAATAATAAAAATAAAATATATTTAATTTAACCTGCCCATCCCACCTCAACGTCTACCATCACTTACCTTAAATCAGGTTATAACACCTAATTAACACCACTTAATCCACTCGTATTAATCAGAAAGGATCACTAGTTGGTATTTAATCCAGTAGGGAGACATAAATCACTTAATAACATCACCAGAGAGGAAAATAAACCGGGTCAGGAGCAACACGATGTGACTTTACTATAGCTGCCATCATGTATTCTTCCGCCCTGTTGATTCACTCTCTAACACCTAAATAAATTATCCGATATTATCATCCATTTTAAATAATATCATTAAATTTATCGTATTTTTTTATATGGATTTAATTAGGTTGGTTTTTTTTATAGGTTTTTATTTTAAGAGAAATTTGATAATATATTGGAGGACTAGTTTTTGTCCGCCCAATATAAACAAGTGGTCATGACAGTGATGCCAACTCAATGAATGATGTCACGGGATTTTATTTTTGAATTATTTTTATGGTTTTTCGGGATTTTCAATGATTTTTTTACATTTTTAATGATTTTTTTAGGATTTCTCCGGATTATTATGGATTTAATTTCATTTATTTAGAGGGATTTTATTATTGTTATTCAGTATTTTTATTCCCGAGCTGATATATTAAGCAAATTAACGACTTTTAATTATTTTTTCATAAGTGTTTATTTCATTGATATTGTGTATGTATTAAGTGTATACGTATTATCGTATACATTTTAATTCATGTGATAATGTATACGTGTTAACATACATGTCAGTATGTACGTGTATAAAATAGCAGTTTAAGGTTCGTGGATGGGTGACAAGTTGGCAACACTGACCAGTAGAGCAGGGTGGGGACTCATTTAATTTATAATAAATAATAATAACATCCTTCTATTACAACCTTCTACCTCTATTTCCTTACACAATAGAATCTAATCTATTACCTCCTTCTAATAGCATATATAAGAGATTTATAGACCTGGTATAATATAAACAGTCCTTTTTCATTAGTATTTTCCTAGTTTGGGGGAATGAAAACTCAGTAGAAATTAATTTTAATATTATAATAGAACTTGATCTATTAAAACCCTAGAATGGATTATAGAGGATAGTTCTTACTGATATAATAGAACTTGATCTATTAAAACCCTAGAATGGATTATAGAGGATAGTTCTTGTTGATATAATAGTCATATTTAATAGCTAGTTACAATATGATTAAATTGGTGATAGTTAGTAAAGGTTATGTATTTTTTCTATATATAATTGAAGGATTGTGATCTATTGTATATTAAAATTTACCATGGAAGTTTATTAAGCTGGGATGAAAGTTTATTAAGCTGGGATGATAGATTAAGGATGAATAGAAGTTTAATTATATAAGTGTGGGAAGATTTTTAAAATAGAAAGTTATTTTTAAGCATACACACACACACACACTCACACACACAAACACACACACACAAACACACACACACACACACACACACACACACACTCACACAAACACACACACACACACACACACAAACACACAAACACTGCACACACTCCCAAACATACACACACACTCAAACACTCCAAAACACACACACACACACACACAAACACTTCCAAACACACACACACACACACTGCACACACACACACACACACAAACACTTCCAAACACACACACACACACACACACAAACAGAAACAAACAGACTAACACACGCACAGACAAGGGTGGTTCCAACGGTGTACTTGACGAGAAAGATAATTTACTTAACAAGGTCTTACATTGGTTGTTGTGTGTGCGTGTGTGTCTGTCGCTTTGACCTCCTTACCACACCCTTATCCACGCCATAATCACACCCTGACGACCCCAATCCACCATTAACCACACCCTGACGACCCCTATCCACCCCTTAACCACACCCTGACGACCCCTATCCACCATTACCCACACCCCTGAAGACCCCTATCCCTTTAACCACACCCTGAAGACCCCTATCCACCCCTTAACCACACCCTGAAGACCCTATCCACCATTAACCACACCCTGAAGACCCCTATCCACCATTAACCACACCTGACGACCTATCCACCCCTTAACCACACCCTGACGACCCCTATCCACCCCTTAACCACACCCCTGAAGACCCCTATCCACCATTAACCACACCCTGACGACCCCTTATCCACCCCTTTAACCACACCCTGAAGACCCTTATCCACCCCTTAACCACACCCTAAAGACCCCCATTAACCACACCCTGAAGACCCCTATCCACCATTAACCACACCCTGACGACCCCTATCCACCCCTTTAACCACACCCCTGAAGACCCCTATCCACCATTAACCACACCCTGACGACCCCTATCCACCCCTTAACCACCCTGACGACCCTATCCAACCCTTTAACCACACCCTGACGACCCCAATCCACCATTAACCACACTCTGACGACCCCTATCCACCATTAACCACACCCTGAAGACCCCTATCCACCCCTTAACCACACCCTGAAGACCCCTATCCACCATTAACCACACCCTGACGGCCCTTACCAACCAATAACCACACCCTTAGTCTCTATTAACCACACCCTTAACTACATTTTAACCATTAACAATAACTTTAACCCGGCTAGCTGTGGTTAATGTTTCATAATAGTATTGCAAATTACACCATTAACTATGTCCGTGTTGTTATTACTTGTTTTAGTCCCGTATTTACCTATTTATAACTCATTACCCCTTGTCTGTCGCTAGAGGAACGCCCATTCACCCATTATAACCCATTAATAGGTAAATATACCCATAAAAATAGGTTTATATTCCTATTTTAACTCACCTTCTTTTAATAGATCCTAATGAGAAGGAAATGGGGGAAGAGAAATAGGTAATGGATGTTTCAGATGACAAGGGGTTGTTAAAGCATACTTATAGTCCTTAAACCCCTCCCTTGGCCCCCCCCTAAGGGCTTACCTTTAAGGGGTGTCCTAATTACGGGGTTTAGATGCGCGCCACCCCTCACACCTGACCCGGATCAGAGATAAACAAAGAACATTTATAATTGACTAAATAATTTTAATAATTAACTAAAAAATCAAATCTTGATAATTAAATTAATAAAATTATTATTAAATTGATATAATTAGGTATACATAAGTATTTATTTACTCACATATATGTGTATTCGTTAAAATTTACATATACTTTACATAGACACGAACGAACACATACCTATAGCACATATGTCACATAAAATATATTATATTTTATTTATTTTTATTTATTTTATCATTAGTATTACTTTATTAAATCATAAATAGACTCTACATAAGAATACTGTTTCACTGATATGGAATAATAAATTAGATCCATATTTATATAGCTTAAATAAATGAAGATAATAAAACAAACTGTCAACTATGCAACTAATTACATCTGGTTAGTATTAATACATCGTTATAAATATCTGTTAGTTAATAAAGTGCTGTAAAAAGTAATATACATTTGATATATCTTAAGGAGGAAAGGAAAATGTTTGTTGATGAATAAATTCCAGAATAATGTTCATATTTATTAATAAAGTTTTAGTCATGCTCGGAGGCGTTGGTCAGCATAATGTGTCTGAATCCATGCATTTTATGTTTGAATTTCTTTGTTTATACTTCATTTATCTTCAAATACATTAGTTTATGCAAATTTTTATCAATTATATATAGATTGGAAAAATATAAATTTGTATTTTTATATCAATTAGCAAATATAGAAAGTTTTTATTATAGTTTAAAATTTATATAATAGGCGGATATGAACGAACATCTGCAACAGTCTCCACAATGGGGGAACAGTTGACATATTTCCTCAATAAATCAAATTATAGAAGTGATAAACAACAAAAAATAAAATGAAACAAAACAAAAACAACATAATAAGATAAAATAAATTAAACACATCCTTAATACGGTATTATGAAAATAAAAAACACTAACTAAATTTAAACATTTAAAAACACTTTTCCCTGGCAACTCACGAATGACGTCATCACAACACACATTTCAACAAAATATAATTATTTCCTTTATGTAGGAAAAATTGCACCTGCAACATTTTAATTTGGTCTATTTTGGTGTTATAAGATTATATATAAACTATTAATTAAAGGACTTTAAATAGTCAGAGGGAAAATATTTTGTTGTTTAAATTTATTGCTTTTGAATTTCTTAAAAATGCTGTCAAATTGTTCGGTTCGCTGGTTACTAACTTAAGTGTAGTTAACATTAATATATTACCAATAATGGAATATAAACATAACATATTATAAGAATATTAATTTATATTATATACAGTTAAATATATTAATAAAATAATTTCCTTTATATGATAATAATTTATAAAAATAATGAAACTTGTAATTACTGAAAGATAAGAGAGAGAATCGGACAAGTTGTTGCAGATCAACAGCAGAGTTGCCAACTTAGCGACTTTGTAGCTAGATCTAGAGCTTTTTGTTTTTTTCTAGCGACATTTTAGAGCGATTTGCGACTTGTCTCAAATCTAGAGAAATCCACAGAAGTCTAGCGACTTTCTGGATACTTTTGGACTGTCCATGAAAACTCGGTTTTCCTAATTTCGAGCCGTATTGGGCCCGCTGTTGTTTGTTTGTTTCATAAATGACATGCCTGACGTTGTACACTCCTCCATACAAATGTTTACCGATGACGCCGAGTTATTTCGCGAAATCAAGAACCAAGCGGACTGTGAAGAGCTGCAGAAGGACCTCTGTGGGCTCCAGGAATGGTCGAAGAAATGGCTGCTGAGATTCAATGTCACGAAGTGTAAGAGGATGCACCTGGGGCGTGCCAACGGTAAGGAGGCGTATCATATGTCCCAACGGGATGAAGAAACTGCACTAGGTGAGACTGAATGTGAGAAGGACCTAGGAGTGTATGTTGACAATGAGCTGAAGTTCTCTGGCCATTGCGAGAAGAAGGTAAATCAGGCAAATAAATTATTGGGTCTTATAAGAAGGTCGTTCAGACATCTAGACGGTCCGTCCCTCATGACGATCTTCAGGAGTGAAGTGCTTCCCCATCTGGAGTACTGTCACCCCATCTGGTCCCCGAGATATGCTAGGGACTGTCAGTTGGTTGAAAATGTTCAAAGGAGGGCCACCAAGCTGGTGCCTGCACTTCGGCATCTCAGCTACCCTGCGAGATTGGAGCGCCTGAA